AGAGAAGGGAGAAAAAAATTGGAGGAAGGGCAGAGATGAAGGGGGAAAAAGAAGGCCTTTGAATTTTTTCAACTTTTAAATAGACATTTTAGGGATCACCTCAAAGTTTAGATTTTCAGTTATGAATTTCTACCATACCGAAAAGTTTCAAGTTAGACACCTGGGTATTCAACTACCTAGGCTTAACAGATACTAATGTTTGCCTGAGATATTTTTCAAGGAAATGTTATAGTTGAAGCCTTATCCTTCCAGCTTTTCCCCTCGCTGTCTCCCCAGAGGTAACCATGAACCTGAAGTTGTTACATGTATGTGTGTGTATATATATATATATATATATACACACACACACACACGTCTTTCTCCTGCATGTTATACATTTATTAATATGACTTGTGTCCATAAAAAGTATAATATTATTTTGTGTTTCTTTAAGAAGTTATATCAATAATATAATTTTCTTTAGATTATTTGCCTGTTCTTTTAAAAATTTGCTTTCTTTACTGTTGGTTTTGAAACTCACCTATGTTGATATATGTTAATTCATTTTAACTGCTGTATAGTATTCCATTGTTTGGATAATTCAGTTGTTTCCAATTTTTATTCTATTAAAAACTGCAATTGGAAGTACAAATAATTTTTCCATAAGTATTGAATGACTTCCCTGGTTCCCCTTGTTGACATTAGCACTTAACTTGGTAGACTTTTTACATTTTTGCCAACGTGAGAAGAATGAAATGGTATCTTTTACTTTTAGGATATTTGAACTGAATATTAAGGATTAACGAGGAAATTATATGGAGAGAACAGTACTAGCAAGACAATGTACCTTTTTGCCAACAAAGAGAACTCAAACATATTTGACTATAATCCCCAGTCAGAAAAATTTTATATCATTACTCAGTATATATATTTATATTTGAAATAAAAGATAGCATTGAACAATTTAGCCTTGTTACATGTAGTAGAGTTTATTATTCTCTTTAATAACAATATTGGTTGTTACCATTACATTGATGTGACCACCATTTTTAAGAGCAGCTTGAAAATCATTGCCCAAGAATTAAGTATATCAAAGCTAGACAGGTGGGATGGACCTTGTAGAGGTGTTAACTGTCATGTGAAGGAGTTGGCTTTATCTCAGTCATTTTCAATTTGTTTTAGCAGTAGAATACCACCCCTGCTCAGGCCTACTCTCTTTCCCCACAGGAAGTGATGGGGTCAGTTTTTCTGAGACGTCACCATCCTGGGACTAGAATAAAAACAAGCTTATGGTCATGGTATTTAGGTTGGGGTAATGGGAAATAAGACTTAAAAAAAATTAGTTTAGAAATTCCAGAGGCAAGCTATTGCATAAGCCCAGATACGAGTTGATTTTGTTCAGAACTCAAGCACTAGTAGCATGAATGTAATGGACAAAAGGAGACACAATTTACAGCTATAGTTATTGGACTTCACCGCTGGCTGGCTGTGGAGATTGAGTGAGAGGGAAGAATTACAGGGGATACCTGCATTTATTCTGTTGACTAGGTAATTGGAAGTGTTATTAACTGAGGAATTGTCTGAGGAACTGTTTAGGGTTCACTGCACTAGGCTTGATCATATTAGGTGAATAGTTTACTTTCTAGTTGTTAATTAGGTGCTAGTAATCCTTAAAGGCAATTTTTTAGCCACACTTACTGTGCCATTTAGTTAATTAAGTGTGTATGTTTTTAAGAGTGTTTACATTATGCCTACTGAGTTTACATACCAAACTGTCATTGTCACAAAAGCTTGTGCATTTCTTATGCGTAAAATTTAAAAAGATCCATTTCTTTTCCTTACTGAACTTTAATGGAAATTACATGGAGTACAAAATACTTGCCCAACTGACAAATAAAACAAGTTTAAAAAATTTGTATTGGTAAAAATTTCAGGTTTGATCAAGTAAAAATATCTGTGATACTTTAATAAAAGTATTTGGATCATTTAGAAAATAGTGTACCTATCACATGTGACTTTAAGGTGTGTCAATTTCTGTCCATTCAGAATCCTCCTTTTTTTCCTTTATGTTCTGTTGTGATTGAACATTAGAGCTACCAGGGGAGAAGTGTTGTTGGCTTTTGGAGATTTTGTCTGAGAAACTCTATGGCTCCTACTGAAATGTGTCAGTCTATTGATCATTTAGATCACACTGTTTTTTCCAAATATCTGGGTGAATAATCTTAAAAAATTTTTTAATGTAGATAAGAACTAAGAAGTTTTTAGAAAAAAATATTGAAGATTTTGTTACTAATGCCTCATGTGTGGCATTGCAGAATTGAAAATTATGTTGTAAATTTCAGTAATATCTATAATCTCTTAATTGTAAGACATTTCACAAAGAATTCATGTGTTCTTGTTTGATTAAAATGTTTTTAAATCTCTGAAGCCTTGTTATATTTAGAAGGATAGCTAGAAATTCTTACAACCTTTGTGTATTAAAGAAGACTTTAAAAACCTTTGACAGCCAGTTGAATAGTGATTTAATACTTTCTAATTGATGCTTTTTATTAAGTAATTTTAAAAAATATTTTATCTCATATCTGCCTAGTTTAGCTAGTCCATGCTGAAGAAACTTACTAGCCCAACCATCTAGGTCTTTAAAGAATAATTCATGTAAGAACTTGTATTCTCTAAAGAAATGTGTTGAACATGAGTTATTAGAAAATTAGTTCGCAAGAAGAAATTTGAGTGGGAACAAGAATTTATGAAGTGACATTTCTGCTCCAATATTGAGTATTTTGATGCTAAATGAACTTGGTATTTAGACTTGGAATTGTAGGAATTTTAGTGTTGCTAGCAAAACTTATTGCAATCAGGGACATTTGAAGTTTTTTGTTCTCCAAAATTATTTTCCACACAAATTCACCATCTCAAACCAGAATTTCCTGATAGTCAACTGCTGAGCAATTTTAATTTTCTGGACTTGGCTGAGATTCAGGAAAAGCTTCCGAAACACTAGAGTAGAATTTATAGTGCCCATACAGTAGGATTTATGTTCTTTATTTCTGGGTACATGTTCTATATTGTGCAAACCAAAAATTGGAAAAAAAATAAATAAAAATCTGGATAGGGAATTGAAGTCTGAGGCCAGTTACCCTTCTGTTTTATTTTAGCAGTTTAGAAGCAGTACATTTGATGAAATTGTTCTGATGGCCTTATTGCACATTTGAATTAGTTTTCATTGTCCTTAGCAGTTTTCAGTGCCCCATTTAATATATTTGAGCTCAACTAATGTTTAAATGAACACAGCAGTAGGCAGTCAAATATATGATGGACTAAATTTAATTTTTATAGCTTAATTTCTAGCTGTGTAAAGTGTTCAACTTCTGAAATGTGCTCATGAGAGGTAATTATTGTAAAAAATAATATACCCTGGTAACTAATCTGCTAGAAAATCAGGGGTTTGATACTGAGCATGTTAGTTTGAGATATCTGTTGGAAATTCACAGAAAGATGTCAAATACACAGTTGGGTGCATTCACTTGGAGCCTTAAAGATAGGCCAGAGTTAGAAATAGCAATTGGGAGTCATTGGTATCAGCATACCGCTCTCTTTAAAAGAAAGCTTTGACAGTAGAGATCCTCAGGGAGAGTAGAGAAGAAAAGCACTGTGATATTCACTGAGAGGTGATAAAAGCAGTTTTAGTTAATGTGTGGTTGGGTAATCATCTGAATGCTAATGTTATATTCATCTATATTCAGAAATTCTACTCTTAGAATAGTTTTTCAAACACGGTTTATGTTTGTTGATTAAAATAAATGAAGGATTGTGTAATTATTACTTTGGTCACTGGTTCCCTTTAACAAAATATTCTTCAAATATTCTTCAAAATATTCTTTCAAAATGTTCTTGACATTGGTTTGTTTTGTGAGTTAACATCTATGTGTTAATTTTCAAATAGCCAAATGCATCCTCAGCTCTTCTTCTGAGAAGCATACACTGAGATTATAGATTGAGGACAAAACCATTTTAAAACGGTTTAACCCAGTATTTATAAACCAAAAGGCTGGATATATAGGTATCAAAATGTTAATACAAATTATCCTGGGGGAATAAGATTATATGTAATTTTAATTTTTTTGTACTATGTGATATATATACCATGTTATTTTTATAACCTTTTAGAAAAAGTAAAATACATATTAAAAATATTATCTAAAAATTAGTTTACTTTATAATTCAGTAATTAATGATTGAAAACAAAAGAATGTATTTAAGGTTGTGTTTTGGACAGGTACTTGAAAAACTTGAAAACAGGTACTTGAAAACAGGCAAGGTGTAAGGGAATTTGGAGAAGGGAAGAAAATCACATTCTTTTTAATTCTAGCATTCACTCTAGTGGACAAATTTCCTACTTGATTAAGTGGATTTTCATAGAGGATATTTCTAAACTTTTCTTGCTACATCTAACTTTATGGGTAATTTAGAAGACATATTCTTAAAAAGGAAAATATTAATGGTAAGATAGTGATGTTATAAAATGCCACTCCAATCACTTGGGAAAGATACTTTTTGGATATGTTTTTATATCTAACAGTTATCTATTCTTAGGGAGCTAACAAGCCCTTTGTTTGCACTGCATAGGGTAAATTCCAAATAGAGTTCATAAATCTGAACACAGGAGAGCTGTAAATCAAAGTGGAACAAAGGTCATCTAATTGCCTTCTAAAATACTAATTTGATCTTCAAGTAGCCATATGCAATATGTTAAAAAATTTATCTTAAAACACTCAAGATGTAAAATATGCAGATTTTGAGATCCTGTTGACTATATGATTCAGAAACCTTAATGCTGTATTTTGTATTAAAACCAAATCACTATTTTCTGAAATTAGACTTTCTAGTTCTGTTTAAACTTGTGTCACAGGTAGTCATTAAAATGTACCTTAGAAAATAAAAACCCATTCTATTTTATATAGGCTTTTTAAAAAATGTTATATGTAATATCACTTAAGACAATTTGTTTTATTTTGGTACAGCTTGCATTGAAAGGTTCTAGCTACAGTGGACTGCTTGAACGACATCGTATTCACACAAAAAATGTAGAGCATATTCTAGATAGTTTACGGTAAGTCTTGGGAATCCGTTCTTGGGTGGACTTTTGTATTCTGGACTTCCAATTTTTCTTTTTACTACCTGCTAATCCTTTAATAATTTAGTAAAGATTGCCATTATAAAAACATTTTTGGAAAATTATATCATGGTGAATGGATCTGATTTACAGTGTTTCTAAGGAATGTTTATTGCACTTTGAAAATACCACAGGTTTTCAATTATTTGGTCTGCCTGAGAAGTGCCTATTCTACAGTTACTTTTGTACACAGCAGGCTTCAACTGTATGTGTAATGGTTTTATTTTTTAAACAATACTGGATTTTTAGAATGTCTAAAAATTATCATTATAGAAAGTTCAGTTAATTTAGGACTAAATGCAGTCAGTGAATAAATTTATGTATAAGAGAATTAAAGAATAAGAATAAGGTCATAGGAGAACAAATAGATCATAAGAGATAAATAAGAATCAGAGTTGAGACTGTGCAAATTAGAAAGTATTTTACTGTTTCTGGCACTGACTATTTGTTGGATTTTAAAATAACAGCTATTCAGTTTTTTAATTTTTAGAAGTTATCTTTCAAGATATTTGTTTCCTGAGCCATTTTTGCATTAATGATTTTAGCATCAGAAGGAGTAGAGAAAATGAGATGAAATTCTAATCAGTTAATGTTTCTCTTTGTCAGGGGCTATAATAGATGTTTTTAAAGCACATAGAGATTTGGAATAGTCATTAACTTTCAGTTTATTCATGTGCTTCCTTAGTTACAAAACAGATGTATTTATTTTACATTTACATTATAATTATCTTCCTCTCAGAAAATACACTCTTTTATGTTATTAGTGGAAATTTTATGTAAACCTTACTTTTTTAGGAATGAGGGAATTGAGGTTCGTCTGGTCAAGAGGAGAGAATATGATGAAGAAACTGTTCGATGGGCAGATGCCGTCATAGCTGCAGGAGGTAATAGTTTTGCAGAGGTAGAGATGTTGGAATATGAATATGCCCTTTAATACATTTCCAAATACTATATGGTCTAGCTGTAATGAAGTCTTCAGAGTCCTACTGTAAGAAAAATTTTTAGTTTTTTAGAATCAGGTTTAAAAAGACCTGCTTAATATAATATTCCATTTTTGTAGTGAATGATGTTACTGTGAGGTTCTGGGCATATATTTCTGTGTATATATTCAAGGTGTGCATTTAACTTCAAATACGATTCAAAAGTTTAGTTGTAACTGTATTTTGGTTTAGTTATGCCAATCTTAAAAGTTGAGGTTGTTTAAGAGTTTAAAGAGAATTAGGTAAATTCCATCCTTTTCTGGCCCCAATATACTTAGACTTAAGTTTTGTATTAAATGAATGTTGTTTTCTAAAGTTTTAAAATGACAGCATCTGTTGGAGAAGAAAATCTCAAGTTGGTTGCTTTGTTGGATATATTCTCATTACAGTAATTTCTGAATTTGGACTGATGTTAGGAGAGAAGGAAAGAGGATTGACTAATAGAAGTGATAGGATTAGAACAGTGGTTCCCAACTGGAGAAGACCACTGGCATCTAGTGGGTACAGGCCAGGGATGCTGCCGAACATCCTGCAGTCCAAGACAGCGCCCCCCACACAAACTTGTCTGGTCTACAGTGTCTGGTCAATCTTGTCCATGTTGAGGAATCGTGGAGCTGACTGGAAGAGAGAGAAGGGATAGGATAGAAAGGAAGTGGAGTAGACTGTGGCAGTCAGCAGGTTGGGGTGGGGGTGTGACTGTTGAAAGTACTAATGTTCGAAAGGATGTTAAAAATTGGTTTTGTAGTAAGTCTGGTTATGTCCTTCAGGTGATGGCACAATGCTTCTGGCAGCAAGTAAAGTCTTAGACAGACTTAAACCAGTTATTGGAGTAAACACTGATCCAGAACGGTAAGAGAAAACACATTGTTTGACTTTTTTTTTTAATGTTATACATACATTTATGTTTTGCTGTGCATAATATCTGTTTATGATAAATTTTAAAATTTGGAAGCTCTTCTGTATTTTCTCCACCATAGTCACATTGTTGGGCTTTTTTTGCTACAGGGTGTTTACTGTAGTGCATAATGTTTAAGTGGAAGCACCGTGGCTCCTGACTATCATGAACATTAGAACGATGTTCCAAAAACATTTTAGAGGTGAAATGTAGGCATTGATCTCTACCTTCAGTAGTGTTCTTTTTCTGTGTAATTGTTTTGAAGGATATAGCTCTTGTTTTTAGCTCAGGCATGAGAAATACATATCCATATAGTTGACATTGGACAGCAAATTATGACATGGAACAGAGGGACAGAGAAGACCCAAGGACTGGACCCTGTTATCCTGACTTGCCAGCGACTTCCCCAGCTTTAGCACTGATAGTCGCATGCCCCAGGGAAACTGGGACAGTTGGTCACCTTTACTATGACATACATGACTGCATTATCTGGCCCCTGACTATTCTGTGTTCTTATCTCCTGTTAACTTTTTCCCTTTCTTCATGCTATTCTAGCCTTACTCTCCTCTACTTCAGTGTATCCAGTGGCATTAAAATTGTAACATGTCTGCAAATGAACCCTTCTCCTTTCCCCTGCCTCACCACACTTAAGGAATGGAATCGTATTCTGTGCTGAAGATGTGACTACCTGTCCTGCCCTCCTTCACCCTCGTCAAATCGGTCTTAGGATCTACTTCTAAGTTCTAGGGATCCTACCTTTGAGTCCCATCTCTTGCCATCCTCACTGCTGTTAAACATAGCTCAGGCCTTAGAGTTTATTTAAATTACTGCAACTGCTTCCAGTCTTGCCCTTTCTAGCCCATCCTTTATACTTTGCTTGAATGTTCTTTCCAAAGTGCACATCTGATTGTATCCACTCCTTAATTAAAATCTTTTAGGGTTTCCCCATGACCTTCAGGATACATTGACAATTCCTTAACACAGTATATATGATCTTTCACCATCTGTTGCCTGTCTGCTTTCCTAGTTTCATAAATCCTCATTTACTCACAGGCTTTATACATTGTTTGGCTGAAAAAAAAATTACTGAAGCCTCTCTAGGAACAGACTAGTGTCCTTGCTTAAAGCTATTCTTTATTTCAGAGTTGTATTCTGTCACCCCCCTCCCCAGTTTTATTAGATATAATTGACATACAGTACTGTTTAAGTTTAAGAGGTACAGAGCTAATGACTTAATATACATATATTATGAAATGATTACCATAGTAAGTTTAGTTAACATTTGTCATCTCATGTAGATATAAAAAAGGGAAAAAACATTTTTCTCTTTGTGTTAAGAACTCTTAGGATCTACTCTCTTAATAACTTCAAATATACCATAACATAGTCATCGTATTATATATTACATCCCCAGTAATCATAATTGGAAGTTTGTGCCTTTGAGCACCTTTATCCAGTTCTTCCACCCCACACCCTAAAGGCTGTTCTGAATGCACATGTAGTGGGGTGAGCATCTGCTAACACCATGGTTGGAGGCTCACATGTGAGGAGCTTTGTTGATACTTAAGATGGCAGGATTTGAAAGAGTAAGTGGAAGGCCTGTGTTCTTCTCATGTGCTTTTGTCTCAAGTGCCCTTATACCCCTACTCAGTTGTGTAGTTGTTGTTCATTCAAGACTGGTCCCTCTCCTGTCCTTTGACCATGATTCTCTGCACAGAGAGCACTTATCCCTTCATGTTTTCTGCTTGATTATTTGTCCCTTCCATTAGACTATAAATTCCTTGACATAGGACTTTGTGTTCTAATTTCTGTCATATATATAATCAGTAGGTAATAAACATTTGAAATTAATGACAAATTAAATGATCTTAGTAAGCAGGGTTTTGATTCCAACCTAGATGAGTGATATTCCCTGAGCATAAGTAATTGAGATCCTTGGTTCAGGAATTCTATTTGGTTGCCTTCACTGTTGATGCATGTGTATTTTAGAGCTTTCTTAGTGGCATATTTTTAAATTATTAAAGTAAGAGATTACTTACTTAACTTCAGTGATTATATTTTATATAGTTTGTTGAAATTTTCCTTTAAAAAGCTTAATGTTCATAATTTGTGGGGATTTTGAAACTGGGAAACAGGCAGTGCTACTTCTCTAATTTCTATTAGAATAACAGATTTTAGAAATCCTTTGGTCTCTCACCTTCAGGCAGAAATTCAGATTGCTTGATGGTTTTTCTTACACACTGTCTTTCTTCACAATCCTTAAATAAGCCTAGAAGTTAACGTTCAACTTAAGTTTCTTCTCCTCTGTATTAGTTACTAAATGCTGCATAACAAGTCATCCCCGAATTTACAGGCTTAAAACAATAATAATCACTTATTGCCTCTCATGGTCTCTGTATATCAGGAATTGAGCAGCTTGACTGGGTGATTCTGGCTTGGGATTTCTTCTGAGGTTAAAGGCAGATGTCAGCAGGTTGCTCCAGGCATCTGAAGGTTTGACTTGGGCTGGAGGATACACTTCTAAGATGACTCACTCACATGGACTCATCTGGAGTTAATACATAATTTGTCTTTTCTGTATTCTGTACTTACTCTATTGAATCTGGTATATAATTATGACATTTGAATGTTTAATAATCAGAATGGGATGGAGGGCATGTAGTAGCCAGCCTCCAAGGTAGCCTCCTAGTATTGACAGCTTTATGTGATTCCCTACTCTCTTCTATATTCAGTGAGGGCTGGCCTATGTGACCAACAGACTATGGTATGACAGTGTGTATATTCCAGGGCTGGGTCATAAATGGTATTGCAGCTTCTTTATTGGTCTCATGGGTTGCTCATTCTGGGATACGTCAGCCACCGTGATGTGAGGAGACCCAAGCAGCATGGTGGAGCCTTACTTGGAGAGGAAGTGAAGCCTCTTGCCAACAGCTGCCTCCAGTTTGCCCGCCATGTGTGTGAACCACACTGAAAGTGAGTCCTCCAGGCCAAGTCAAGTCTCCAGGTGCTTACAGCCCTAGCTGATATCTGACTATAACCTCATGAGAGATTCTTCTCTCTTAAGTGTTTTAGACCTGCAGTTGACCTCAGGAAGTATTGCACTGTCATTATTGTGGATACCTTTCATATACTTAGCACTGTGTAAAGTATTGTAGTGAATATAAAAACTAAAAAAGAGGCCCTTTCTAAAGTTCTTAACCTCGGTGTTGACCTTCTCAGATATGGAAATTACTGACTAGTCATGACTTTGTACAAATCTTTTTTTGTGCTCTTCACACTTGTAAGTTAAATTACAGTTATTATCAAGAGTTTGTTTTGTCAAGTCTACTCTCAACCTTTCCTTCAAGATTGAAAGCATCTTCTGAATGATGATTAAGCTATCTGGACACCTTTTCTCATGTTAGGTACCTTATTAGTCTCTTATATTCCTATAGCAGCTTATAGGCAATTTTAATGTTGTAATTTGCAATTATAAAACTTTTCTGTCCTTCCAATGAAGCTCCTTCAAGGACTTCATCCTTACATATTTTTTGAATAAATAAAGCATTACATTGGATTAAGCTGAGTTCCCTTTTAGTGACTAAGAATATCTTAAATTACATTTTAGAAGAGATTTATAGCTCAAAATACTTTCATATAAATAGTTTGATTCTTCAGAATAACCTTTAGAGATTGGTGGTTTTATAACCCTTTTAGAGATGAGGAAGGGGATGCAAAGTGACTTGCCCAAAGTTAATAGTTAAATAATTTAAAGGGAAGATGCAGACATCACAGTGCTATTAAATAATTTTGCAAGGTAATCAATCAGTGGCAAATTTGCTATTATTTTTAGTTTCACAGTGTAATGTGGAACCTTAAGTAGTATTGTGTATTAAGACATTAAAGCTAGATATAAACAATTTCTATTTGGTCTTTTTTTGTTCCTGTTTGGAAGTACAGAAAATTTTGTGGCAAAAAAAAAAAATGAAGTATATAATATAAATTTAAGTTTTCTTATCTGATTTTTTGTAGTTTAGTGACACCTTTTGAATTGTTTTTTCTTCTTCCCTTTATACCAATCCAAATCCCTTTTAAAATAAAGGTCTGAGGGTCATTTGTGTCTTCCTGTTCGATATACACATTCCTTCCCAGAAGCCCTACAGAAGTTCTATCGTGGTGAGTTCAGGTAGGAATTTCTTACTGTTTTTATATAAATATCTTAATAAATGTGTGTCAGTAAAAATGCTGTTATACAGAACAAATTAGCTTTGGATTAGTCCATAATTACAGTAGTAGCCATATAAAGTAATACATTGGCTCAGTCCCAAAGACATCATAATTATTATCTCAGACCACTGGAATTGTCTAGAGAAACCCTGACAGAGACCACCTGGCTTATAATGTAATTGCAATTAGAGCTTTTTTTCCTTCAGTGACATAGAGGGTCTGCTTTCTTAACCTTGTTACATATTCTTAGCAGTTTGGGAGGACAGTTAAAACTGTTGGCTAAAATTGAATGTTCAGATACTCTTCAGATTTTATATTTTTTATCCTCATCTCCCATCCAGAATGACTGAGGGTTGGATTTACTCCAAACATGCTGAGATTCTTAGTATCTTAGTCTTAACATATTAAGTGTTTTGTAAGCAATGGGGTTGTTTTTTTCATATTTTTTTCACTTAATTTGTTCATGGTCAGACTGTCCTGAAAAAAGAAGGGTCGAGGGAGGAGTTGAGATGAAGTTGGCACATTATATTAGAGCCAGGTTGGACTGTTTTAATTCCTGATTTGGACTAGATTTTATAGTTTGAGAAAGCTTTTTTTCTGGGTATTTGTAAGTTGTATTAAGTCTTGACTTCTGGAATCATCTAATTAATAATGATTCTAGTATGACTAATTCATAGCTACCAAGTGGGAGTATACTACTGTATACTTATCTAGCAGAATCTGTCTTGCTGGCTTTTTGTTGATACATCAGTTCTTTTTTTGAAATAATTTAAACCTGATTTCTTTTTTTCTTTACTTTTACCAAAAATGTTATTAGGTTATAATCTTAAATGTTATATGTTATTGTTTTTTTCCTTTTACTATAAAAAAAGTCATCACTACAGAATTCTAAGGGAGGGATTTTTCTCTAATCCAGCCACCTTAAGACAATATTATTTTAATTTCAGAGTTTTTTTTCTGTATGTGTTACACTTTTTGATGGGCAAAATACAACTGTATCTAGCTCAGTATCTTAGGCTTAATGGATACTTGATAAGGAATTTAACTTTAATTCAAATTATTTAGGAGAGTTTGTGCAAATGCATAAGATATTTCCATTATGATTGAAAAGAGAAACATCTACATTTGTCTTTGAGCAGGAATCTGTGGGTTTCAAGTGTTTCTGGTAAAATTTTGTTAATAGAATAACTACTTTTTTAATATAGATTTTTTACTTTAGAGAAATTAGAATGTCTAATCCTTAGTTAACTCACTCTATTTTAATATAACTTGCTTTTCCTTCACTCTCCTAAGGTGGTTATGGAGGCAGCGAATCAGGCTGTACCTTGAAGGGACTGGCATAAACCCCGTGCCTGTGGACCTTCATGAACAGCAACTAAGTTTGAATCAACATAGTAGAGCCTTCAACATTGAAAGAGTTCATGATGCAAGTAGGTGGACTGGAAATTACATGTGTTTGGGGCAATGTTCATAGTTCCTTTGATCTCTAATGTAATCAGCTTGGGGATTTTAGTGCCACTGACAACACTTAAAAAATACAGTATTAAGAAAATACTACTTTAGGCATAAAATTTATTATTAGATACTGGATTAAGAAATATAGTTTATTTCTAGAAAAAATATTTTCTAGGACAGGTTGAAAACTGGTTGATTAGGGAAGGGTTATAAAATGTCCAAGAGAATAGTTGATTTGAAAGAAAGATACTTGGTCTTAATCTTTGAAATGTTAAAAAGGAAAAAGCAGCAGAAATAAAATGAGCTAAATCTTTAGAAGATTTCATAATAATTACACATTTGTATAGTTGTATTTAAGTACATTTACTATAGTTATTGATTAAAGCCTTGTTGGGAAATTTTGCATCCCAGCCTTAAAATTTGTTTCAAATGTTTATGTTAGCTGCTAATAGAATATTAGCATAAGGTGATAGGTAGCTTTTTTGTTACAAGTGTTAAGGTGAATTCTCAGTTTTGAGCTAATTTTTGAACTATAATTTACACATATTTTCCCACTTTTTCCAGAAACTGTAAGACTTTCATGATGCAAGAAGATCCCAAGAAATATACTAAATATCTGTGGACTGTATAAAAAGATATTTTTTCTCCTGTGTTTCATTTCTTGGCCAAGCTTACCAGGAAAAGCTACCTTTACATGCGTGCTTTCTGTCTCTTAGAGCTTTTTTTCCTTCAGTGACCTAGAGGGTCTGCTTTCTTAATCTTGTTGTGGTACCTCATGCTTATTTATATTCATTTTTTCAGAGTTTTTCTTGGTGATTAATAGCTTTATAGTATTTTCCTAAATTATGTGTTCATGTCATGTTTCAAAAATGTTCCTTCTCCCTGAGGAAAAAAATAATTGATTCTAGAAATCTTTTAAGTAACTATATGCATATGATTTCCTGTTATTGCCTTTGAAAGACTATAGTAACTATTAAGTTACATTTTAAAATCTTACCTAGAAATTTTACTTTTTCCCTCAGCAAAAGAAATTACTGTTACCACCAAAAAATGTTCAGGATTTGGCTCTTTTCACAAATAGTCTTATGGGGAAAATGTAGATTGGTATTCAGAGATTCATTGCTCAGATTCCTATTTCAGATTCACTGTTTTTAATATATACTAAGTTAATATGTGATATACAGAAACAAAATTACATATTAACTAAGTAACATCCAGGATGTTTACCTCTGATTAATGGTAGTTCTAGAAAAAGAACAGAAAAAATGTTACAGAAAAAAATTCTCAAAACTTAGGCAGCAGTTTTTGAATTTAAAGGACTCACAGAATTGAATTTAAAGGACTTACTTAGCATAAATAATGGAAAAAGGTTCCACATCAAGATGTGTCAGAATACTAGGGATAAAACAAAGCTCCTCTGGGCTTCTAGAGAGGAGGTGGTGGAGGTGGTAGTGATAGTGGTTATTTTATGGAGTAGGTCATTTTATGAAGAATCCGGAATAAGAATAGTTTCAAACTTTTCAATGGTAATACTGAAAATTGCTATACTTATAATCATTAATATTATTATTATATGACATTTACCATATTCAGGCACTATTTTAGAGGGCTTTTTTGTTCGGGTTTTTTTTTTCTTTGATAGAAAACTTTATTTTCTGAGAAAAAATTTAAGAAGATTTCAAGATATAGCTCATATTTCCTATTTAAATTCTCTTCAAGTTGGCAGGAAAAATTTCCTAGGAAGTTGCCATTTGGGATTTTTGAGTATAGGAGGAGCAGGCTTGAGACTATAAACATGCCATGTTTGATCCCTGATTTAGCTAATTTAGAACAAAAGATTACAGAGAAAAAAATTACATATTTTTTTAACTTCTCAGCTTAAAGGAATGCTATTTATTTTATGTAGTATAATCTATCCATATTTATGTACAAGTTAGGAAGAATTCATTTTTATTACCTGTATACCTTCAAGGGAAGGTAGAATTGGTTTATTATTATTTTTAAAAATTTAATCACATAAACTACCTTTCTTATTTGTAAGCCTGGTTGTATTAATTTGATTAAGTGAATTGATTTGATAAATATTCCCAGAAACTCAGTGGCTCAATGTAATGAAAGTTTATTTCTAGCTCATCTCACTGACCAAGGAGTGTTCAGGAACTTCTAAAAGAGAGGCTCCAACCATCTTTTAAGGCCTCTGAGTCTTCTACTGGATCCTCTGTAGCTTGTGAGTAGAAGACTGTGAGAACATGGAGGATCTTCAGAGAAATTTTAGGAACTGGGACTTTTTCCTGCTTTTACTCATATTCTGTTCATTGGCCATTACTAGTCCCATGAGTATTCCCAATGCTAGTAGACCTGGAAACATAGTCTAGTAGTATGACAGTGTGAGAGAAATAGCCCCTGTCACTAATGTAACAATTACATATTTAAAAATATAAATTATAATTAATTTTATCATCTTTTTTTTTTGGATAGAATATTGTTAGTTGGTTTTGAGCCCATCTTTTCATGTCCTTATTGAAGTTATAAATGAACTGTTTTGTGATTAGATAATGTTTGGTGGTCATTTAGCATGAAGGAAAATGTAAGCAGAATTAAGATGATTAATGAGATTTGAAGCAATTTTACTTATTCTCTTCTTTGACAAAGGATGTCAGGTGAAATACAGCAAGCACACATAATAAAAGTGCCAAGTTTGGTGAGAATTCCTATTAGTAGTGAGTACCTACTTATTAGTTGAGCATTTGTGGAAAATCTGGGGAGATGTAAAACAAATACCATTAGTAATTACCTTATATAAATAAAAATTTAAACAAATTTTAGCCTTTTACATTGATAAAACTGTCAGACATGAGGATGTGACTATATCTAGTACCAGAGACAGTTTCAGAAGTTATGTTTTCAGTCTTAAATGCAGCTAGATATGATTAAGCACATCAAATTTTTTTATATTCCTTTTTGTGGTGTTCTTTCTACTATGCGATGGAACTGATAATGTCAACTTGTTATACAGTTTAGTCAAATAACAAGTTTTCAAAGGGTTTTAGGCACAGTAATAACGTTATATTTGAAAAAATAGTTGGGTCCCCTTTAAAAGGTTATAATCCAAAAGAAACGAGATGCATGTAATTAATGTTCAATAAACTTTTAAATAGAAGAACATAATCAGGCTTGCAAGTCAGAGGAGAGTATTAAATCAGTGGTTGTGTTGGTGATAATTTTTAGTATATTAAGAGTCCGTATATTGGATATCTATTGCCATATAACACATTACTCCAAAATTTAGCTCTTAAAACTTAAATATGATTTCACAGAGATTGTGAAGGTCCAGAATCCAGGAGCAGCTTAGCTTGTTAGTTGTGGTTTGGGGCCATTCAGGAAGTTAATAGTTAAGCTTGTTGCAGGGACACCAGTATTTGAAGACATGACTGAAGAGCTGTTTCCCAGGTCATCATCACATGGCTCCTCACTGTGTTGGCTTCTCCATGGGATTGCTCATTAAATAACTCCCCTCAAAGCAAGTGAACTGAGATTGCAACCAAGGCACAAGCCAGGGTATCCTTTGTAACCAAATCTCAGAAGTGACATACCATCACTTCTACCATACACTGGTCAAGTCACATAGACCAATCCTGGTATAACTGGAGAGGAGAGATACACAATGATGTGAATACCAGGAGGCCGGCATCACTGGGGACCATTCCTGGGGCTATCTACACAATTGGGGTGCACTTTCAAGGAGAAAGTGTGGAAGAGACAGAAAAGGGAATGTTTCCAATGTGCCACTCAGTGGGAGGTACTTGGGTGTGATGAATCTGTTGTTGATGACAGTAAGAAAAGATAGGCTTGGCATTTCCAGTTGGAGACTAATAAAAGATAAAAAGTAAGAGAAACCATTTGAAGGTGACAATCACCTGTTTGATTGATTCAGAAAACAATGGGAATCCTTTGGAGGATTTTGTGTGATGGTAGTGATGTTTAAATAATCAAGGAAGATTACTTCAGCTGTGCAAACAGTCTTCTAGAGTAAAAAAAGGAAAGACATTTCTTAGGAGTCATGAAAGGAAATGCGGTGTTCCTCCAGTGTTGCTGTTGCTTAAAAAACACTCTTGAGGTTTTCTATTTGAAAAAAAATCCCATCTCTGTCATAAATGATTTTGTTTCCAACATGAGCCATGGATGTGATTTGCCATTTAAATCCAAAATGACTTTCCTTTGGAAGTACTTGATCATTTCCACTTCTGAAGCTTCCAGAGTAAAACTAAATGTGACAATAAGAATCTTATGAGATGAATATGTATATTTCATCACTCTTGAAAAATTGTTTCAAGAATAATTAAGGTTTATTTAGGAGAAACAGGCTTCATTACAACTATTTTAGATGACTTTGAGGTTTATATTGTGAATACTTAACATACATTTAATTTGTATGTTAATATTAAGGTATAGATTTTATTAAAACAAAAATAAGAATAAATGTTTTATAAAATTTTTGTCATAACATTTCTCAAACTTAAAGAGCTGTCTTGATTTTTTTTTTCTTCATTAACTGCAGGATCTGAGATTTCTGGACCCCAGCTTTTGCCAGTGAGAGCACTAAATGAAGTCTTCATTGGAGAGAGTCTATCGTCAAGGTATCTTTAAATCTGTGCTCTTGAGCTTGGAATTGAATTTTTAGTGCTTTTTAGATATTTACTCAATTTCTATAGCTTAAGATTAATAAATAGTTAATATTGTATAAGTAATAGAAATGAATTATTTAAATAAAATATTTCCAGAATTTTCATACACATTAATCATGTTTAGAGGAAAGAAGGTTCTATAAACAAAAAAATTTGTGAAATCCTAGGTTAAATAAAGGTATTCACGTTTCTTTACTGAAGTATTTCTCAGAACCTTTAATCTCTCATACGGTTCTGTGGCTTTATAAATGTTTAAAAGAATGATATTCTAGGCATACATTTGCAGTTGATAATAAAACTTTTCGAGAACTTCATATTAAAACTTCCCTATTAATTGTCTTAATAATGTCCTTTAAGTTTGTTTATTTTTCTCCAGTATTTAATTTAGCACTCCCACAATGCATTTGGCCATCATGGCTCTTTAGTTGATTAAGAACAGTTCCTTAGCCCACCCCTGTTTTGTCATTTAAGATATTGATATTTTTGAATGGCCTAAGCCACATGGTTTGTAGAATACCCCTTAGGTTAGATTTGTATGATTTTTTTCCTGCATGGTAAGATTCAGACTAGTATTTTTGGTAGAAATACTATATAGGTGGCAATTGTCCTCCTTAGTGCAACATCATAAGGCAAGTATATGGAGGTTGATAACCATTTAAGATTTGTAACCATTATTAGCAAAACTTAAGGTTAGTAAAGTTCTTCATTAGGAATATAAAGAAAGAGTATGTATTTTATTACTGATGAAATCTTTTCTGAGGGGGCGTTGAATATAACTTGGGCTAAATTGTCAGAATTTTTTGACAAAACTTTTTGTGCGACATTAGTTACCTGTTAAAAAGTGACTGCCATAATGTAAAGCTAATTTAATTGTTGATAGTACTTAAGAACTTGCCTTACTTCTCATTCTTGTAGATCTAAGAAAATTAGGCATGAAAGATTAGAGATGCACCTCTGTCCCATTTTCCTGCTACCAAACCATGTGACCCTTTGAGGGTCATGTAGTTGATTCCCTAGTTTACTGAGAGTTCCATATATTCTGAAATTCTGTTACTGTTGTAAGTCGTATCCTTTCATAAGTTTAATTACTGTGAGAAGTTTGTATTAATTAAAAAGTATCCACATTTTAGCTAATGACTTAGCTTACATAGTACTGAAAGTAACAAAGCCTGATTCACAGAATAATTTGAACTATCTTTGAGTTGTTGTAATTATTTTGATTAATGTAATTTGTATTTATTCAATAAAAATAATTTGTGCACCTGCTATGTGTAATATGGAAGTCACTAGGAATGTAAAGATAAGTAAGACAAAGGTAGTGGTATCTTCATTTTTTGGAGGGTAGTAAAATATATAATTTGAAAAATTATTGAAAGTAAATCTTATTCTTCAAAGGAATAAAATAAAGTATATTCTTTAAAGAACTTAAAAAAGTATAAAAACATTTAATGTAGTAAGACAACATAAAGTTTTTTTCTTTTTGCTACACAGCAAGTTTGAAGCAATAAGAAAGTGAATAATGGATACTTCTAAGTGATAGAAGAGAGGGAAGAAAATATAACTAATTTGTGATATAATCTAGTTATTTCTAAAGATGTAAGACAGAGAAGAGAGTAATAACTTTGAATGAGATTGGAGAAAGTATACATTAAATAGATGACATAAGGTAAAAATATTTTGTGAGTTTACAGTAAGCCAATTAATGGCTTATATTACTCTGTATATTTTAAAGGTTGTAGCTTCTGAGAGCCTCTACTGGTGTTGACTTATAATTTGTACTTAGTGAAAATTAACTTATAAAAAGAAGAAAATGGATTGATTAATAAACTTCTGGGTATCTGGTGAAGTCACATTAGGAGATTATAGGTGAATGCTTTTATTTTTTGTGGCAGTAGTGATTTGGTTGGTTTATCTCCTAAACAATATCTGATGCTGCTTCTTTTTGTGTTCTTTGATGCCTCACCTTGTATCTATACTAAGATAAGGACAGCAATGGGTTGGCTTCTGATGCTATTGAAAAAGGTTTTGCTCTTGGAGGTACTAGAACATTTTAAAGATTCTATGACAAACTCTTAGTCAGAAGGGAAATGAACACTTACTGGATGTCTGCTATATGTCAGGCTTTTTGTATATTGTGTATATAATCATATTTAATGCTCATCCCAACCCTATGAGAAAGGTAGTTGTAATTTATCATAAAAAATTGAGATTTGGATAGTTCAAATAACTTGCCCAAGATCATATAGTGTCAGAACTGTCATATAAGGCCAGTATTTCTGATTACAGATGCTGTATTGAGTCTTCACTCCTGAAAATTTAAGTGCTTTGCTTGGAAAATAAGAAGTGCAGCAATATTATTCCTGCCTCATTTATAATGTTCTTAGATTTAAGAACATTTTAAAAGCCCAATTTTTTTTTTCTCCTATTTGTTCTAACCTAGAATGTCTTATTCTTGGGCTGTAGCAGTGGACAATTTAAGAAGAAGTATACCCACTCTAAGGGGACTGTGAGTTTTATTGCTGCCTTAAAAAATAATTTCCCTGAAACAAAAATTTTATGAGTTGACTAATCACGATAAACCTGCATGTGAGAATGACACTAAATTTGCTCATCGTTTTGGGCTCAACATCTCTCACCTGATTATTCTTTTCTTCCTCTCCACTTCTGCTTCTCTTCTCTCCCTACTTAACCTCTAATCTTTTTTGTGTCTGTGATTCTGGCATAATAGCTGCTGCCATTCCTATAGGTTTGGCTGGCCTGTCTGTATATAATAGACTCCTAATGTGCCTAAAATCCCTAATTGTCTAGGAAGACATAACAAAGCTATGAAATACATTAAATGTGAATATCTTTTATTTTTATGAAGAATGTTGTCTTAAGAGAAAAAATAAAAAGTTGTCATATAAAACCTTAACAGATGGACAGCTTGGCAGGAGAAGGTGAAAAGGTTATAACAAGAGATAAATTATCCATTGAATGTTAGTGTTTTTGTAAGCACGTATAATAATGTCATTTTGAAAAGCTGTATTTTATTATTTATCTTAACTTTTTTATTTACTGGAGAAAATAAATGCAGTGTTGATCAGTGACACTACTATTTTAAGGTATAGTTTACTAAGTAGGCTTTTACATGCTTCAAAAGATTTTTTGAATCATTGCAAATCATTTAGATACTCATGAGTTAAAGAATAGTGTCATTTTTGCTGATGTAAGAAAAATATTTTATTTCATACTTATGAAATACTCTTAGAAACAGAAATCTTTAAAGAATTAATATTTCTAGTTTTGTCCACTAATCCAGTACAGGGTGATAATTTTCTTTAGAACTTTATTATCTGTTAGCTTACCATCAATTCAAAAGGCACATAGTGTGTAACTTAAGAAACAAGAGTGTAGAAGCAACTATTGATAGCTTGAAAGATTAGATAGACTTAGATATGTCAGGGACTAGCTACCAAGAGTGAAACTCACCTAAGAATGGTATTTTCTTTTTGAATTCTAAAATAAAGCTCTGTATTGTTAGTCCATAAAAGCAGTAGAAGCAATCTTAGGTTAAAATTTGTAAGAAGCCCGTTTGAAATGTTTAGGTAATAGAAAGGAGCATAGAGATCAGAGAGGGATGCAGACATATGGACATTTTAAAAATTTTATTCACCTAATCATTATTGAAGTTAGCATTGTGGTATGTTGCTCACTGAGTCAGGTATGTCTAAGTCAAGCTGGCCTACTTAGATTTCATCAGTTCTGAAAAAGACTATGTCTTATTTACTGTGAGCCATAAATTCAGCAAATTCAGTTTTATATTCTCAATTCATAGGGCATCCTACTATGAGATTTCAGTTGATGATGGTCCATGGGAAAAACAGAAGAGTTCAGGGCTCAATTTGTGTACTGGAACAGGATCAAAGGCGTGGTGAGTAACTTGTGATGTTGCTTATCAACTTTTGTGAAATACTTTTTAAGTAATAGAAGTTACTTGATAATAAATACTGGTATACCTAAGGCCTCAAATATGCAAGAGGTAACCTGCTGTTATGTTGGTTGGCTTAGTTTCTGGTTTACTTATTGATTGAGTCCACAAGTCCTGCCCTAATTTCTTAGATTACAGCTGCAGCCTAGATTGGTCATTATTTGGTCATAATTTAGCCTATTGCCCTAGGTTTATAAAGAGAAAAAAGATAATGTTTTGGGTACCATATTTTTTTTTAATGAAGAATATTTTAAGTAATAATAGAGAAAGAAAAACAAGTACAATAATAACAAAAAATATGCTGGAGGCTAGTGTATAAAAGGCCTAAGTGGAGATAATCTGGGATATCCCATATCTTGTTTACCTGATAACCTCCTCCTGGGTAATCTCAACTTCAAATTCAACACATTGAAAACTGAATTTATTATCTTCAGTTTTTCTTTTGTGGTTCTTTGTATTACTTAATTATCACTTACTGTTTACCCTGAGTTCATGCTCCTGAGAAAAATCATTTCTTCTCAAAACCTTGCTCTTACCTTTGAGTTTCCCTTTTCTTCCCTCTATATATACCAGCCTCTATCCTGTCAGCTGCATTTCTGAAGTCCTTGTCCCTCTTTCTCAGTTTTTGCTGCTATTTGTTTTGTCCAGGCCCCCATCTCCCAAGTGATTATTCTTTGTGCCTTACCCTTCATTCTTCAGGCTGCTACCCACACTGGAAACAGGGTAGTATGACTAAAAATGTAGGTAAACCTGATTATATATCCCTTCTATGTTTTAAACTTTCACTATATTCAGATTATGTAGCCTGTCATAGAAGGCCCTTTAAATATGACTGAAGGTCCCTTGCCAGCCTATTGCTGCCCTTACCCTAACCCATCAGCCCACTGAAGACGTTGCAGGCTACTTGCAATTCTCAGCACAAGCCATGTTCATTCTGGGCTTTTTATTTTTGCTCAATGCAACTTCCTCCTGAAATGAATGCCTGAACACTTTTTACTTTCCATACACTGGCTGAAAAGCCCACTCTGCAAATGTCATTCCTTGTAGGAAAACTTTACCAGGACCTAGTTCCCTTCATGAGTATAATTAATCCCCCTTTTGTCCTCCCCCAGCATTTTCTCCTCATGCCACTATCATAGCACTTACCACATTATTATCTAATAAGCTAATATCCAGCTAGTTTAAGCAACTTGAGGCATTTGGAATGGTGACTGGTATTTTTTTTCCCTTACTTAATTTTTTGTGTGCATAGCACAGTATCTTAATCCATATTCACTCAAATATTTTTTGAATAAATGCTTACAAATGGTGTTAAGACAGTGCTTATCAAACTGTAATTTTAAGTTGGATTGTATAAAATTGAGCTTTATTGTCCATTTTTTCAGCATAACTTTTTAAAACTTTTTATTGTGGAAAATTTTAAATATATACTTACATATCCATTAACCAGTTAGAGTAATTATCAACTCATGCCCATTCTTGTTTCCCCTATTCCCCACCATCTCCTTTGATCCCATATTATTTTGAAGTAATTTTAAGACATCATATCATTTCATTCATAAATACTGAATAATTTCCAATCCTTTATTAAAAATCCTAGTCTTAGCCAAATAAATGAAACTTTGGAAAAAAAATGATAAGTATCATTTTAAAAGATTTGCTTTTTCATTTTCCTGAGGGCCAGTGAAATGGACACTTCTAAAATGACTTTTCTAAAAATTGTTTGAAAAATACATTTAGTCATCTAATGTTATAAAATTATTTTGTAACCATCTCATAAATGGATGACATTATAATTAACACCTTTATTATAACACCTTTCCTGTTCAACATGGTGTGTAACTTTTTGAAAACTGCCTGTGAATTAGAAATAGTTTCCCAGATCCTTTCCCTTTTCTTCTTTCAGTTTTCTCATCTCCCTCAAAATGGGCAAAGGGGTGTAACTGAAAAGAGTTCTGGTCTGGAAGTTAAGAGACCCAGCTAAACTACTAACTAGCTATGTAATTTCTATGTGTTTCCTTTTCTGCAAAACAAGGGAAATAGAACAGATTAAATAAGATTACTTTCTCTTCTGAACTTCTGATTGTGTAGGTTATATTTTATGCACTGTAATGCACGCTACCAGTTATTTAGTCCCTGTTACTTTGGATATACTGTGCTAGGTGCTTTTTGAACAGTCTATAGCCCTTGCAGAAATTCTGCAAGAAAGTAGTAGTATCCATGTTCATAAAGGAAGACACTGAAGTTTAGCAGGGATGAATTGTTAGGGTGAGGCCACACAGCTAATAAGTGTCAGAACCTGGACACAAGAACAGGTGTGCCTGACCACAAAACCAAGGCCTTGTTCATGACCAGCTTTTAAATGTAGGGGGTGGGGTGGGAGGGAGGATATCTATAGAAGCCACACAGTTGAAAGGTGAGTCACTAGGCTGTATTGAAGAATTACCAAGGTAAACTTGCTCATCTTGGTGAAACAGTGCTTATGCTAAAGGCAGCGGGCTTTGACTACTGCCTTGGGGTGTGTGTGTGTGTGAGATTCTGATAGTTCTCAACCTTTCAGTAGTTAGAAGAGCATAAAGAATAAGAGCTATTATGCTTATAAAGTAGTCCCCCTCTCCCCTGCCAAGTACCTTACAGTTGAATCCTGTGTTGATGTTGTCTTTGATTAAGTATGGCTTGGATTAGAATTTCAGTCTTCTCTGTGTTGCTTATTAAAGTCTCCTGTGCTTTGGTACAGCTCTCTCACTAGCTATATCCTGATCTTGACACCTTTGTTATTCAGTCTCTTTTCTTCTCTACTCAGCCCTGTATAGCTTGTTGGCTTCCAACATACTCTATCCATCTCCTTACCATTACTGAAAATTTAAGGCATCATACTTAAATTTAAATGGATCATTTAAAGAAATACACATTAAAAATATGTTGAATAGTACAAAAGGTTATACAATGAAAGGCTAGTCTCTAATTCATATTTCTAATACTAATTTCTAGTACATTTCATATTTCTAGTACTAATCTCCAGACCCACCCATCATATATAATTGTTTTTTTTCTCATATAAATAAGTAAGGGAAGAAACATACACACATTATGCCTTTGGTTTTTTAATTTAACATACTGGTTATCTTTCCATATTAGTAAATATTCCATATTAGTATTTTATTCTTTTAATTTCTATATTGCACTCTGCTGAGTAGCTATATTTAGCCAGATCCAATGGATATATATTTGAGCAATTTTGTTATTATAAACAATGCTTCAGTAAATGTCCTTGTATGTCTTTATATAATATACGTGCCAAGTATATTATAGATAAATTAGGAGATCGAAGACTATGTTCATTTGAATTTTTAATAGTGCAAAATTCCCCTCCAACTGCAACTTCTATAATCCTATCATTGTAAGAGATTATTTATTTTCCTGTATTCATGCCAATATATTATTTATCAGTTTTTGATTCTTACAAATCTGAGAAAAATGTTATTTTAATTTGCATTTCTTTAAGTATAAGTAAGATTGAACAGTTTTTCATACAGACCTGTGAACTGTTCATGTACTTTGCCCACTTTTTAGGTGAACGTTGTCTTTTGGTTGTTTTTTCCCTCATGATTTTAAGAGTTCTTTGTACACTAAGTAGATTATTCCTTTTTTATTTTTAGTATGTTTTTAGAAGTAAAACAAGAATTTATGTGGTGTTTGTTTCTAGGTCATTCAATATTAACAGGGTTGCAACTCAGGCTGTGGAAGATGTTTTAAATATTGGTAAGTACCATAATAGCTTTTATATGTTATAATTTTAATATGCTATAGAATGTATATAGTTTATTGTATGTTAGCTATTATATGACCTACAATATTTTACTTAATCAAGATACTTTCTTCCTTTCCTTTTTTCAAAAATAGCAAAACGACAAGGAAATTTAAGTCTTCCTTTGGACAGAGAATTGGTAGAGAAAGGTCAGTGACAAATGATCATAATTATTAACAGCTTTATTTATGTTCTCTATCAATTTTGAGAGTGTAATTGTGAAGTGTACTTGTCTAATTAGCAAAGCATAATCCTACTTTTTTTGACTCAAACATACTCTTAATATAATATCCCTTTAAATATGTTTCAACAATTAAAAGTTTAAACCTGCACTTTTACATTAAATTTTTGCCAACCATGAAACATAATCTATATAAAACAGTAAAACTGCAAACATGTCCTGGGGGATAGGAAAATAAAGAAAAATACTTATCTGGCAAATGGGACATGTACACATCAACTCAGTATGCAATTACTATCCTCTGAATGAGAAGGAATTCTCTGAGCTGTGATTGCTTATCTTTGTGTTCACGGATCTGTCTCCTTAACTTCTTCCTGCCTACTCCTGCCCAGTTCCTTCAGGGTTCCTTTAAGAGAACTCACACTGATGGGAAAAGATATTACTGATCAGGGTATTGGGAGGTCTGGTTTCCAATCCCAGACCAACCTGTGAGGCTATGGGCAAGACTGATTCTCTACTCCTCTACTTCCTCAGTTGTAAATTGAGGGAGTAGAAGGAGACTGCTGGTGCATAGGGATCTTCACATTTATCCTTTAAATTTTATTTAAAAAAAAAATTTAAGTTCTTAAACTGAAAAACATATTCATTTGATTGTTTATGAAAATTTTTAACATGCTAAAGTCCACTTGCCTACAAGGATCATTTTTTGTACAGACCTCAAACTAAAGTTTTTCTTGCTGCCTCTGTTTAATTGAAGAGTATCCTAAGATACTCTTATTTAAAGGCACATTATTTAAAATAATAGACAACAAATCCAAACTTGTTTATAGTTGCATCTACCTGCCTATGTAAGGATTTTTCAATGTATACAACCAAAACAAAACAAAGACACAAGTAGATATTGGCACATATGATACTATAATTGTCATCCATAAACACAAATACATGGATTTGAGAGTTACCAGAATAGCCTCATTCTTATTGGTGGCCTTTAAAATGACTTAGCAATACATTTAGTAATACATGAGCAAGTATTCTAATAATGTCAGTTCATTTATCTATATATTTAGGATTTCCACATAAGACTTCCTTTATTGGAAAGATGGTTTGCTTTTAAAAAGTTTGAAAACAGGACTAAATCTCTGAAGTCTCATTTAGCTTCTAAAATGGACTTTTTCCTCTCAATTTGAGACATAAAAGATTATTTTAATCATGGCTTAGGAGCTAGCATTAACATAGTAAGAAAGAAAAATTAGGTATTTATAGTAATTGAGTCTTCATTATATAATTTAACTTAAAATAACTGAAATTCACATCAGGTATATAAATTAACTTAAGGGCATAGATGAAAAGCAGTGGTTGATTTTTCCCTTAATAAACATATCACTTTACTGAAAGACTATTATTCCTCCTCAGAAGCGGTATGAATGCCAGTGATGCATGCATGTTACCCTTCTGGAACTACTTCCTTCAGAGCTAGCACATTTTTTGTGTGTGTGCTCCCAGAGAAGCAAATTTTTAATTTGAAAGTAAATTAGATTTCTTAAAACAACCAAATAATTCACATGAAATTTTGGTAAATAAGTTAAATTATCTTGATAGTCTTGTAGTGTATTTCAATGTGTTCTACTAAACATTCTTTCAAATCCGATTTCTTTGTACAGTTGTTTTTAACCAATTTGTACTTTGCATGCTAACTCACATGTGCCTCTTGGTTAGAGAGAAAGCAGGTCCCAAAGATCCCTAAAAAATACCTTGAGTAATGGTATTTTCCTGTCATTGTTTGAGACTGCATTGTACATCAAGACTAGTTAACTAATAATTATACTTCTGAACTCGTTAACATGGTATTTTGGAAAGGAACTTGGCAAGGGACTATGGCAACTCAAGTTCCCTTTTTGAGTGCCGCAAATTAGTTCTTCTATTTTTGTATAATTACTAGCTTTGTAGTTTTTTCTCCAAATATACCCATCTCTGCTATATTGTGGGTAATGTAGGTTTCTGTGGGCTAACCTTTGAACCTAATTCTCATTTATAAGGTTTTTGTATTTTTAATGGAGTGTGTTCTAAATTCCAAGAAACTTGTTACCAAACATTCCTTTGGAATAGAGCTGCTTTTAGGTTGGGGATAGCATTCATTTTTCATTTTGTGCTTCTCAGAATTGACCATCTTTCATGGAACATGCTAATACTGTTTTTTTTCTCCCTTTTAGTAACAAATGAATATAATGAATCACTGCTTTACAGTCCAGAAGAACCAAAAATACTTTTCAGTATTCGAGAACCAATAGCAAACAGAGTTTTCTCAAGCAGTCGTCAGCGTTGTTTTACCTCCAAGTAAGCTTTGAAAGTCTGATTTGTGACTGTGTTTTCATCCCTTTAGATTATAAGCATGCTTGGTTTTAAAAGTATTCAATTTAATTAAATTCACTGATTCAAACTTAATCTTGAGGGAAAAATAGAACCTGTGAAGCTAATAAGGCATCATGCTAACCAAGCTAAAATGATAATCAAACTTACTTTGCCATTTTAAGGAAACTAAAATTTAAGTGACTAGGAGTATAGCTATTTAGTTAAGTGATGTGATTTGCCACAATAAGATTAAATAATCATTTTGAAAGAAGCTGGAAAGCAACTTTATTTTTATGTACAATGGTATAAAAGGACAAACATTCATATAAAATCTAAGTTGTATAGCAATAAACTTAGAGTAGGATTCATTTCTTTCAGCTTTTCCCAGAAGTGAACCTCTTACCCATATCTATTGAATTTGCTTCAGTTTTTTTTTAGATTAAGAGGATATACAAAAATGAATATAATTTATTACTTTGTAAAGGTTGCCCAATATTCCTAATAAAACCTATAATTTGAAAAAATATCTCCTGATATAAATTAAAATTAGTTTAATTATAAATTGTTGCTTAGTATACATATTTTTTTTTGAAAATACACAATTGATTTTTTTCCAAGAAAGACACTCAAAAGGAAACTTCTATTCATTTCAGAGTACTTTTGATTAATCAATAAATCTATACTGAGTTTGGATGAGACTACAAAGACTTATTTAAACTTTAGCTTATATAAATAGGAAAATGGCTTCATGACTTTGGTAGCTGAAAAATATTTCTTAAGCATATCATAAAAAGCACTATAAAAGATGGATAGATTGAACTTCATTAGAAAATAGAACTTGTTAGTCAAGACACCACTAGAAAAATAAAAAGGTAGAGTGAAATATTTGTAGTATCCAGCAATAGACTCATATCCAGAATATACTATAAAAATTCCTACAACTCAATAAGACAGGTAGCCCAGTAGAAAAATATCCAAAAGTTTTGGACAGGCATTTCATAAAAGAGAAATGGCTAAGTATATGAAAAACATCTTTGACCCTATTCATCTGGGAAATTTAAATTCATCTGAGTTTAATGATGGGACAAATTAAAAGTATATAATATGGTACTATATACACCCACCAGAGTGGCTAAAATACCAGTAGTTTGTAAGGTGGAACCGCTGGAACTTACAGTTAGGAATATTTATACCATTCAGAATAGTTTGTAAAATTTTTGGCAGTTATCTACCAAAGCTGAATATGGCACACATGGAGACCTAATAATTTCTAGGTATATATCCAACAGAAATATATACACTAACAGAAATATGTACAACAAAAGACATGCTCAAGAATATTCATAGTGGTGCTGCTCACAATTGGTAAAAACCCAGATGTCCTTGAATAGTAGAGATACATGCATTTTAGTATTTTCATACTATGGAAGTGTTTTCATACAGCAATGAAAAGAAGGCAGACAAAAGCAGGCATATTGTATTCTTCCAATTATATAAAATACAAGAACAGACAAAGCTGTTATTACTATGGTGACTGAAATTTGGATAATGGACATGATCGGGAAGGAAGGGCCAGGGGTAGTGACTGGGAGATGGCATTGAGGGCAGTGAGGGAGCTTTTGGAAAGCTGGGTAATATTTGATTCCTGATTTGGGTGACAACTATACAATTGTGTTCATCATGCTATACACTAGTAATTTGTGCCTTTTCTGTGTGTTACACTGAAGTAAAACTTCTTTATCAAAATAGTTACATTCTTGCTCAATACTTAAAATACTTGTAATAACTCAACATTTTGTCATATGAAAAAAGCTTACGAGTGCCATCAAGTCTGAACTTGTTTGCTCATAAATGTTTGGGTGAATGGATCTATCCTAACATTTAAACTTTGAGATTTTGATAATGTACCCACATATTTTATCAAAGAGCAACTTTATTTTTAAAATCAGGGCCAAATGATCTGCCAGTTTAGATGAAAATTAAGCATTTTAAAGAAACCATTATTTAGGGTTAAGAAGACTTAATATTTAATGATATGTTCCTTTTTGCTTAGGGTTTGTGTTCGTTCTCGTTGTTGGGATGCCTGTATGGTTGTGGATGGAGGTACTTCTTTTGAGTTTAATGATGGGGCAATTGCTTCGATGATGATCAATAAAGAAGATGAGCTTCGAACTGTGCTTCTAGAACAGTGAAGAATTTCTTCATATGACAAACTTGATTAGCAGAAACATAACTTCACTGCAGAAATGAACTGTCAGTCATACAGCTACATTTTTTGGTTAATGTTGAGACCTGTTGGCCCTGGGCTCAAAGGTGACCAAAAAAGTAAGACTTGCATTATTCTGATGGAAAAGATGTTCAGTGTGTTAGAAAGTGGTAGCAGTGAAATTTCTATATTGCTTACAATTGGTATCCAAGAGTGCTGGTATCTTTTTACATTTGAGAGATAGGTTCAAATAAAGAATTAAAAATTTAGGATTAAAAATTTCACTGTGCAAGTTTTTTTCCCCCCTTCCCTTTCCTCCTTACTTTGTGGAATTGGTCAGCCCAAACACCTATCATTTGATCAGTGCATATTTTTTATATAACCTAAATATCAAGAGTCAAAAAAAATTTCAATGGAGAATTTTGATAAATCCTGACATTAACCTAACTGAAATAGGTAAATGTGTTTTTCTATCTGGTGAGATTTTTCTGAATTCAGAACACAATGATATTGTTACGATTCTATTGATTTTTAAAAAGTTCAAACAATCATTTTTGAAATTATTTGTAGATATTTTCATTTAATTGACTTCCAGGTTAATTTTGACAATGTTGGGTGAAATACAGATATGGACAAAACTGTGATGCTGTTGCAAATGTATTAATTATCCAATAGCTATTTGAGGTCATAGACAATTTTTAATGATTTGAGTCTAATAGATTTCCTCAATTTTTTTTTAAACACTCTGACATAGGAAGACTAAAAGGATGGACTGATTAGTCATATTCTATTAGGAGTGTGGTAAGATCTTTAATACATTTTTCATCTAGTATTAAGAATATTGTCAGAAAATGGATTTTCTTAAATATGCAAAATATATTAGTTTGAAATTGCCTTATTTTTAATATCATGATAGTTTTCACCTAGCTCATATTCCAGTTTTCACACATTAGCCGTGGAGGATAAAATGTTATGGCCCCCCATACTCTTCTCCCCTCACTTCAGAGTTTCTTTATTTTTGGAGAAAATTATTTTTATCTAAGTCTTGATCTACTTATAAGTAATCCTAGAATTTTCACAAAAAGTACCTATTGCTGCATCATGAGACAGTTGGTATTCTCATGCATTTATTCAAAGTTGTATCTTTTTTCTTGCTGTTAAATGAAGACTGTTAGTCATTGAAATATTTATTGACATGACTTTGTGCCATGTACGAGTCAGGTGCTAGATACACGCTGATGAATGAAACAGACTCTATCCTGATAGCACTTGAGTCTATTGCACTGAGAAGTAATTCTGTGAAAGCTAGGGTGTATAATCAAATTGAGGGCTATTAGTTTTGCCAACATTTAATGTGTTCTTGTCAAATTTTTTATATAAATGTTACTATACCAAGGTAATCTAAGGTTTGATGTGTATTTAGAACAAGAATTTGTTTTTTTTAGTTAAGGGTATCCTCATAGCAGTTTACATGATGCATACAATAAAAATTGGTGTTTTCCCAGAGCTGGATCTATTTTCTGGTTGGACTTAAAAATGATATACTTAAGATTCCACTTTATAGAGAAGTGAAATTTCTCCCCTAGGTTTAAAATACCTTCTTGACAAAAATGCCACCTCCATCTTTTTATCAAGGAAATCTGATTATACAATATCATACCATGGATCTTTTAATATTTAACAATGGGTAACCTGTGTAAAATTGTTCAGAAGCCATATTTTAAAGTTTCCAAAAATATTTACTGTGCTCCATTTGCAATACAACTTCTAACATTTCTGCTTTGTCATGGGGATTTATTTGTAAGAGGAGAGGCAAAGGAGGTTAGAATAGCAAAAATGTTTCTATGAATGAGTTGACCTTTTAATGGCAACTATATGTGAATAAACTTAAACTATTGTTATCTCTTTATTTATTTCCTTAACTCTTATGGGTTCATTATTTCAAAATGAGATTTTCCCAAAATGTTATGTTTCAGAAGTCTTTTTCCCCACTGCTATGTATTATTTTATGCCCTGCTGCCTTCATTTACTACTAATATTTGACATGATTTGTTACAGAACCATGATTTGTTACATAATCAGAAGACAGAGTACTTACCTTATAAGTGTAGACTTCAGATAACTATGACTTACTATATTTGATCCATATGTACTTATATTCATGGCCCCAGCAAATCAAATTGTATTACATGTTTTACTAAATGTATAGCCTTCAAGTGTAAAGAATTTCCATTGATTTCACTTTTCAAATGTCAAAATAAATCTGAAATAAATCATTACAGCCAGTTAACACAAAGCTTTTACTGAAAAATATTCCTGTGAGTTGAAAAAGTTGTCAAATATAAGGATACATTATCTATTGCTCTGCTGTGAAAATATGAATTTAAAAGATGGTGGAATAGGAAGATCCTGAGCTCACCTCCCTTCCACAGATACACCAAACTACAGCTACACGTAGGACAGCTCCCCCTGAGAGTGACCTGAAGACTAGCAGAAAGAATAGCTCTCCCAAAACAAAGATAAAAAGTCACATTGAGATGTGTAGGAGGAGCAAAACATGGTCTAACCAGGACCCAAACCCCTGACATGGCAACCCACAAGCAGGAGGGATATCACAAATGCAGAAGGACTACCTGAGGAGTGGAGTTCAAGCTCCTCATGAGGCACCCTAGCCCTGGGGACCTGCACAGGGAAGACAAGCCCCCGTAATGCCTGGCTTGTGAACCAGTGAGGCTTAACTTGGAGAGCTGGAGGGCTGCAGGAAACTGAGACTCCAGTCTTAAGCTGACACACAAGCTTGTTTGCCTAAGATGCACTACAGAGGCAGCAGTTTGAAGAATACCTGGGCCATAAATGGAGAGTCACTGATTAATCTGAGGGTGTGTGCTGAAGGGGGAGAGAAATGTAGGAGCTCTTCTCTGGGAATGGAAGTGCTGGCAGGCACCCTTTTATTCCTACCTAGCTGACCTGGTGCTGGGGGGTGCCATAGCTGACAGTCTGCTGCTACCATTGCTTGCCTTGCCCCAGCATTGCCCTGTGGGCTTGCCCTGGCAGATACCTCTCCAAAGGGGCTCCCACCTCCTCATACCCAGCTGGCAGGGACTGGCACCCTACCAAAGCAATTCCTGCCTGGATGAGGGTAGCTCTGTCCACCAGTGCCCCCCCAACAGCTGTGGCTGTGTCTTACTGCCAGCAGGGTTGGGGACCATCCCCACCCACCAGCATGCCTGCAGAAGTCACAGTCAAGCCACAATGGGGCAAAACAGAGCCCACACAGAGGATGCCCCCTAGTCACTGGTTCTGGTGACTGGGGGGATTGTGCTTCTGAACCCCAAAGGATGCCTTCCTTCTACATAAGGCCACTCCTTCAAGACTGGGAAATGTAACCGATCTACCTAATACATAGGAACAGTCAGGCAAAATGAGATGGCAGACTATGTTCCAAACAAAAGAACAAGACAAAACTTCAGGGAAAAAACAGTAAATGAAATGAGGTAACAGTCTACCTGATAAAGAGTTCAAAATAACAATCATAAAGATGTTCATTGGACTGGTTAAAGAATAGATGAATACCATAAAAATGTCCATACAGAGATAGAAAATATAAAAAGCCAATCAGAGCTGAAGAATACAATAACTGAAATGAAAACTATGCAAGAGGGAATCAATAGCAGATTAGATGAGGTAGAATGGATCAGCAATCTGAAAGAGTAGTGGGAATCACCCAAGCTGAACAGCAGAAAAAAAGTTTTTAAAGGATAGTTTCAGGGACCACAGGGCCAACATCAAGCATACTAACATTTATATTATAGGGGTTTCAGAGGAAGATAGGAAAGAGTGGAAAACTTACTCAAAGAAATAATAGCGGCAAACTTTCCCTAACGTAGGGAAGGAAACAGACATCCAGGTCCAGGAAGCACAGAGAGCCCCAAACAAGATGAATCCAAAGAGGTCCACAATAGTATACACATAATAATTTAAATTCAAAAGTTAAGAAAATCTTAAGAGCAGCAAGAGAAAAACAACTACTTGCACAAGGAGTCCCCTTAATATTGTCAGCCGGTTTTTAGCAGAAATTTCATAATTTGTGCCAGAAGGGAGTGGCACAAAAAAATGAGAGGAGAAAAACCTACAACCAAGAATACTCTAGCCTGCAAGGTTTTTTTTCCAGGATTGAGTAAAAGGCAGGTCTGAGATGGTGGCATATAAAGAGCCTGAGCCCACCTCCTCCTCATACACATCCATGCTTCACCTACGCACAGAGCAATTCATCCCAAGGAAGAACTGAGGCCTGAGAAAACACCTTCTACACAACAAGGTATAAAAACAGCTGGAGAGATGGAGACATGGTAATGGAGGGAACCCCAAGCTCAACGCGGCTCTGCACTAGAGGGGATTTCACTGAGCTGCCAGAGTGCAGATTCGCCTGCCCTGGGGCACAGGAAAAAAGCTGCAGTCCAAAGGACAGCCACAGCTTAAGTGAAAAAAACTGATTTTCAGAACTAAAGTGCCTGCCAAGCAGTGGGGGAACTGCTACATTTCTTTCCAGGAGCAGACGTGCTGGTGAGTCTCACTGTTTATGTTCCTCCCATCACAGATAGTACTAATGGGGGCAGGATGAGCACCATTGTTTACCCTGCCCCACCAAGTTGACAGTAGGAACAGAAGCAGGGCCAGGGTGCACACACCAGCACCGAAATAACTGAGGCCACCTCCTAGCCTCCGCTCGCACCTGCACACATCTGTGGTCAGAGATCCAGCCATCCCACTGAGGCGGCACTAGTACAGAGCTCATGCGGGTTCACCCTACTTTAGCTGATAGTGCAGTTCTAACCAGCACCCACCTGGGAGACACCTGAACTGCGCCTCTGCCCCTGGTCGCTCTACTAGTGCAGCCCTGGCCCAGAACCCACCCAGGTGCTCCCTGGACCACACTCCAGCACCCCTGGCAGTCCTGTTAGTGTGCTTCCAGCTGGCACCCACTTGGGAGACTCCCGGCGCACACCCTGGGGGCCCTGGCACTGGGATGCCCCAGCCCACACTCACCAGGCAGCCAGCCAGTCCAAACCGCCAGGCACATGAGGTCTACCCAGGGGAAGTTCCTACACAAGGCCATGCCTTCAAGATAGCCCTTAAACCCAGTGAGGAGACAGAAGAATAGGCTTGACACAGAGAACAAGACAAAACAAGAAGAAGAATTAATAAGCCGAGTTAAGCAGTCTACCTGCAAGATTTCAAAGTAATAGTTATAAGGTTGCTTACTGGACTTGAGAGCAGAGTGGATGCACTCAGGGAGGACTTCAACAAAGAGAATACAATAAATGAAAAATACACTAGAGGGACTTAATACCAGATTAAGTCAGCGAAATAGGTCAGAGAAAGAAAATATATGGTTTCACTTGTATGTAGGATCTGAAAAAAGCAAATGAACAAACAAAACAAATAGACACAGAAAACAGACTGGTGGTTGGTTGTCATAGAGGAGGAGGGAGAAGGATGGGTGAAATAGGTGAAGGGGAAAAAAATTAGAATGTTTGACAGCTTGACCTGCATGTTACAGGAGTGTATACACTAAAATTCATTAAGTTGTACACTAAGATTTGTGCATTTTAATGTATTTCAACAAAAAATCCCATAAGTTTCATAGCTGAAATCCTTTTCAACTTTGTGGTAATGAAAATAATTTAAAATATTCAGATTAGATTAATAATTACAACAGTATCTTACAATTCAAAATACATTTCTATGTATGGTTTCATCAATAAGATACTTACATTGAAAAAGAATTAAAATGTAGGGCTATGGAAATTAGTCTGCTTTAGTCTCTCTTATCAGTCATGGCCCTGCCATCTCAAGACCTTCAATTATAGTGATTAATGGTCAAAGTTGCAGAGGTAAATATTTTGGTATTTGGTTAGAGAAATAATCAAAATATCTGCATTTTAATATTCAGATTCATTAAAAAGTAATAAATAATTCATTTATCAGTAAAAAACCCATATATTGGGTTTATTACAGACTTTAGGACTTCAACCTATTATCAGTTAGCCTCTTGATGAAGAGACCTTTTTAACTCCTTGGGATATCTAGCTAGTTGGGGAGGGGGAGAGGAGTGATAACAAAAGAGGTTGTCTTTTTGGTTGTTCTAGGATTAGGGTATCCAGTGGAAAGGGTTTCTTTCTAGTCCCTGAATTACTTAGTGCCTTTCCTCATATGCTTTGCAAGTTCTCATGGGCTGTTGTTCAAACACAGTATCCTCCACACTGTAGTCAGTAAATGTTGGATTTAAATCGAGTTTACGAGGATTGAAGGGATACAAGTTACTGTATCCAGAAATAAAAATTTTGCATTTGGCCAGCGTGCCTCTCTCTCCAATCTCTGGAACTTAAGGCTAGGTTTTAATAGAGGGAAAAACATAGGGTCACAGGCAGATGTTACAATCATGAACAGAATGACAGCAGATGTTATGTGCCTCTTGATTAAAGAAGTTAAAAGTATCTCCTTGCTAAAGAAAAGAACTTGGTAAAATAAGCCTCCAGATCAGGGTTTAGCAACACTGGCATGCTGACATTTTGAACCAGCTGAGTCTTTGTTGTGGAGAGCTGCCCTATGTACGGTAGTATGGTTGGCAGCATCCTCAGTCTTTACCTGACAACCAAAAATACCTTCAGATTTGACCAAATGTCACCTGGGTGGCAAAATCACTCTTGGTCTAGAGCTTTTTGCTGCTAGAACTATCTGCCAGTTTATGGAAATAATAGGGGACAGATTAACCTGTTCAGTGTCACTCCAGGGATCATACCAGCAAATTCCAGAATGTGAGACACAGGACAAACAACTTAGTCTCTTCAATAAATAAAATGCAAAGAAAAAAAAAGGGAACCCAAAGATCAAGAGACTTAAGAGAATGTCAGTCAAATACATGCTTGGAGCCTGATCAAAACAAACCGAGGTAAGAAAACACTTGAGACAATGGGGAATTTTCAACATCATCTTGATGCTTAATGTTTCAGAATTAATTAAGGAGACTCTGTTTCAGAGGCATATACTGAAATATTCAAGAAGACTGGGTTTTGCTTCAAAATAAGCTGTGTATGTGTGTGTGTGTGTGTGTGTGTGTGTGTGTGTGTGTGTGTTAGGTATGGATGAGATGATGGGTAAAATGAGATTGGCTGTGAGTTAATGACCAAAGTGGATGATGAGGTTTATCATATTCTCTACTTTTTGCACATATTTGACATTTTTCATAATTACGAACAAAAAAAGGAGCATAGTAGCAATAATTCCAAAAAAAGCAAAAAGGGTTGGTAGTATTCAAGAGTCACTATTCCATTATTTGAATGGATGGGTTTCAAAGGAATTGAATTCTTGGAAGTCAGGTTATAGGGTAAACTCTTCAAATAGTTTTCTAATGAGAGAAATACACAGTATAAGCTGATTAAGTCTGTATTTAAAAAGTGCTACTAGTCGACTTTTATGGATTATACTTGACTATCACATTAATCATAAACATTTCAAATGTTTCAGAAATGTTATCACTTCTAGAAGCACATTGAAAATAATAAGCAGCCTATCTTTAGCACCTTATCAGAAAGTATTGTAAACCATTTTAATTTGACAACAAGCATATGACATAGGAAAAAAGGGTCATTTTAGGACTCACTTTGCAGAGCCTTATTTAGAGAGTGGAGACAAATAGCACACCACATAAAATGCTTTCTAATTTTAACTATAAGACGTAAGAAAAAAGTAACAAAGAAAAAAGTAATACGACTTAGCTGAAATACTCACTTTTATAAAAATGTGTTTTATTTTAAAACAAGTCTATAAAAGTAGAAGTCACATACAAAAATACAGATTATTCTGATACATTAGCAAAATAGTTTATGGCTGGATTTGAATTTGGAAGCACTGTATTTTTAAGGGCATCTGGAAGTCAGATTCCAACTAGGATCCTACCACCAGCCCTTGTCACTAATCTGTAAACAATAATTTCACGTAGTCTTTAGCACTTTTTAATTAACTACTACAAAATTAAACCATAATCATTTCCTATCAAACACTACTTTAAAATGTTCTTCCTTAGGTCTGAGCAGATAAGGGCACTTCACATCATTATTTTTAATATTTGAAAAATCTGATTTAAAAAAAACAATAGAAATGATGGGACTGGCTTTTCCATTTTGAATATATGGGGAGCTCATCAATTCAAGTAAGAAATTAGTATTTTATGTTTTTAAGTAGGATTTAATTATTTTTCTTCTATATACCATTAAAAAAATACCTGATGATATCAAAAGATTTAACGCCTGAATCTTAACTTTTATGCAGGTGCAAGTTGTGCTTATTGCTTTGAAACTGTAGGGAACATATACCTGCTCCTAGTATGTATTTCTAATTGAAGGAACATGCAGTTCTTCTTAGGGAACTCTTAAGTTCAGTAACCTTATAAAATGGGTAGTTTTGAACAATTACTGTGGGAGATCAATAAAAAAGGACAGTTTAAGACACTTGATTCCAGAGTAACATGAAAATAATCTCGAGAACCTCAGTGATAAAGGAAAACAGCAGGCATTTCAATCCTACATTTCAATAGAGACTGGCTGCTTACTATCACCTTTCTAAAACAAAGCAAGTCATTTTAAAAGCTAAAGAACCCATGTTAACATAATTTGATCACAGTTAGATGGCCACAGTTATATTTCCTCAACTAATTTAGCATTCTGAGAACACAGTACATAAAGGAGACTTCATTAACGTGTATCAGAGGAAATTTCAGATTAACCTGTCATAGAAAATTGCCTCTTAAGCCTTCAAATTCTATACTAGTTCTATGTCTGGTAGATTGGTTGGTTTTTATTTAGGTTTTAAGGTGAGTTATCCAGGGCTATTTATTTCCATGAACTAATTTCAAATCTAAAGGTAAAGTTGAAATGTGAATTTTTTGTTTTCTACCCCCCAAAAAGGGACTGCTTCATACTATTCTATGATTCCTTCTGTTCAGTACAAACAGAAATAGCTTCTTATTCTTCCAATCTATGTCTTATACAGCAACATTGAAAATTTAAACAGAAGAGTGCCAAGTTACCGTTCAGGCTATGAAAATGATTTGCTGGTCGTGATTTTAAAGCTTAATTCCAAATAGATTTAATAAGAAGGGCACTTGGAAGAGGTGGCTCAAATGTATGTCTTTAAAGTATCTTGAAATTATAGGCTCACTCCTAAAATTTCAAAAGGCCTAAAACTTAGGCTTTTCTGGGCACAGCAGTGCTGGAAGCTTTTGCAGTCATTTTAAAAGAGCAACACTTCGAGTTTTCTCTCTCAAATAGTTCACTAATACACTTGCGGAATGAAGGCAAAGGGAAAACCATGATTTAAAATAGCGAGTGCTCCAGCAAGTGGGCTTCCTGCCTATTTTCCCTGTTACAAAGAAAAGAGGAGACACCATCCTGCAATGAATACTTCATAGACAACTGGGCTTCTGCAGTGCCAGTCGGCATTTGATGCCCCATATCTCCTGGTTCTTTTTGTTGCCTGTGGTCGGCCTGGCAATGGTGGTGAAATGGGAACTATTGATCTGTAGATGAGGAAGAGCTTCCTTTAACAGCTGAAGGGTACTGTCTGGCACAATTCCAAACACTTGTAGTGTTTTTAGCGTGGGAATTTCTCCAAGTTCACTGGAAAGAAAGAGAGACTTTCAGAGTAGCAGTATCTATGGAAACTGTTTCACTACAGTTACACGACCCAGTTTTTACCATTTGTATCATAGTCTATAAAATGCAAACTGAAAATGTAATTTGCAATCAATGATTTAAGAAAAAAGCAAACGTGAATCTAACCAGAAAGCACAGGCCATAGCTTGGGCAACATTTTGTTAAATTTCTAACAATCTAAAAACTCTGAGGTTTGTTAAAAATGGAACTGTATTTGTTTCCTTTCTCTGTTGTTGATTACACTGAAAAATATTACTGTGTTGTTAGGGAGCAGCTAGCAAGCTCGTGATGGTGAAAGTTGATGTTTTATAGTGGCATCACTTGGAATCACCACAGGTTATATGTAATTTAAGAATATGGACTTGACCTTTATTTGAACATGGGCTCCTGGTCTCAGAAGAAGATAGCAGCAAAAGGTAAGGTAACTTCTTAATAATGATGAATATCCAACAAGTCCATTACATCTGATGAAGCCTAACAGTGACTACCAAGAAATTCTAGACAGGGTTATGTAGTTGGGTGCAGATGGAGAAAAGGGGTGGTGACCAGTCACACTTTTATAGGAGGCAATATCCATCTTACCTCTCTACATACAACTATTCTTTTTTGCCACATATGAGCCAGTCCTGGTCTTAGGTATTTCCCACTAGGTGAAATACAACTCTGTCAACAGTGAAATTCCAGTCCACAAAAAAGGGAACCTGTTTCCCCAAAGTAAATACATTCTGGTAATGATTCTTTCTTCTTTACCTAGATCTGTATGCTTAGAAATTCACCTCTCTGATCTGTATTTGCTCCAGGTTGGGACACATAGTACAAAGTCTCAGGAAAGGGAATATTTAGTTTGGAATTTCAACAAAATCCCACTACCGATCAATGAACAACACATCAATGACCTAAAGTTAGAAGCATCTTTTATATTTTCGTATTTTCAGACACTATGTAAAAAACAAACTTTCCTTATAACTGACACCTGTTACAACTGTCACTCCAATCTTCCTTCCTTCTAGCCTATTCTATATAGCGATGACCAAGGTATCTTCTTAAAGCCTCGCTCAGATTATATCACTCTCCTGCCCCAAAACCTTTGATGCTTCCCTCATGTTTAGAGAACTCCAGCAGGCCTTACAACTTTCCTTGCTTATCCTGCCCTCCCAGTCTGCCCACTACCCTTCTCAACATATTCTTTCTACACTCAACAAAGTGTCTTAAACACCACAGACATTTCATGTGTATACAGATGAGGGGTAATTTAGAAAATGAAAGTACTGTCTAATAAAATATGCTTTGTGTTCATAGGGGGACAATAAAATCTGGAGATCACAGTAAACCAAAAAGAAAATCAGTAAGAACAAATTTTTGTTCCTAAAGAAAACTAATCTCTGGAGTTAAGAGACAGGACTATAAAGATCACAATACAGAGATGCTTATACTTATCACTTCAGATGACAGCAATCCTGTCCCAACCTTAAATCCTGTGAAATTTGAGTATATGAGAACTTTGTAATAGCCATGAGGATTTTGGTTCTGGGATATCCAAATTGCTAAACTGTATGTCATTCTGTAGTGAATTTAAAAGAAGGAACTGTAGATGGGAATTTAAAAGAAGAAACTGTAGATGGGAATAAGAAAAGGAGGTATGGTTGATAGCAGAAGAAATGTTCTTGTGACAGTAGAAGAAGGAAATTACATCAGACTCTTAGGAGACACTCAGGTGTTACATGTGAGAAGAAAATGAGCTGTATAAGATGGGATGGTGGACGAAGGACCAGTCTCAAATTGTAAAGTCTTTAAAATCTTGAGGGCAAAGAAAAAAGCCTCTTATGTCTATATCCTACAACACTGCACAACAAATTTACATCCATCTTTGAAATTATAATGGAAGAGACTCTCAAGCAAACTCAGGGAGAGTAAATAGAAATGAATGACTTAAGAGCCATTATTTCTATTTTAAGCATAAAATGACACTGATGATGCCTTGAGTATCTTTGTTTAATTTTAGTAAACAAAAGGTATTTATGAACACTTTCACAGGCTTACTCCTTACTTCACCTACATAATCCTGTGTCCCTTATAAAATCTTAAATTTCTCAACTACGAAGTCTTTAGCCACAAGAGATTTTATTTAGTCTCTCCTAATCTCAGATCAGCTTACAATCTCCATCTTGAGTTTCTTACTTGAAAGAGAAATATGGAATAATCAGAAGTTCACACACATGGTATAAGACCAATCAAGGCACAAAGAAATAAATACAATGAGATATTCTGAGGAAGAAAAACCTACCTTCCCAAGTACTTTAAAAGATATTACAGAAGAAAAACACTCAAAATTGTATCTTCCCACTTCTGAGATAAGAAATAAAAATTCTTTAGCTTTTTGGAAATTACTATTGAGAATCCTAGAATTCTTACTATGAATTTCAAATACATCAGCTGTCAGAATGACTGAAATTAGAAAGGACATTTTATCTTGAGAAACTTTTAAGGACAGGGTACCAGCAAACTCATGTTCATGGATTCACAGAGTAAACAAGTATACTATTTACATTATGTCTAAAGAAACATATTCTTTTACCTTAAGGTTCAAGGATAGCATCTTTCTTCTCTCTGTTCTCACTCTATTCTGGTGGTAGCCTGACTTAAATATATATATATGGATATATATCTCCTGATGCCCCTGTTTTTCTTATTTCAAGATAAGATTTAGAGAAATCATAAAAATGCAGTGGGGGTTCACACCAACGCCTCTTAACTTCAGGCCCATGCCCTTACCAATCAATTCACACTGTTTGTAGGTGGTGGTACCCTACTCAATAAAACTTAAAATGCAAGGGTTCACAGCTTTCCCTTAGCCTTTGCTGGAGAAAAAGCATCTTGGGATTACCTACTTACCTCCTTTCTCCTTGAAGATAAGTAACACAATTAAGACACAGGGATAGATTCTCTTGAGAAAAGCACCTGAAAAAGAATGACTACTACACTCCTGGTGGCTGCACAGGCAAGGAAGTTTGAGGGCAGATGGCAAGGACAAGAAAGAACGTATGAAGGAGAAATCTTTTTGGGTAGGCAGTAGAGGCTCCCAGGAGTTTCGGATGTTAGAAGGATCAGGACATTTTCATAAGTGCTCCATGAATATGAATTTAGACTCTAACATCTAAGAGCCATGAAAATAAATACTGGCATCCCTTTTTGGTGGTGCTTTTCTGAATGAGATACCAACTAAGGCCCTGAGCCCCAAGACCAATTAAAGTGATTAATTTAAAATACAGTTATAAGGCTTCCTAATTCTACTAGTTAACTCTGTATAGCTGAAGTATCTAATTTATTCATTAACTCTGAAACTAACAAGATCTGACCAATAATTTGAGGAACACATACACAGATTCTTTGTTGAAATTCACCACCCTTCTTTTGTAAGAACCAGAAGCTAAGTTACCTTCATTTGGGTAGTGAGCTATATGAGGTCAGCAGCCTCATTTGGGGCATATTGGCTGGAATAAGAAAGAAGGAGACCTAACCAAATCCAAGATACTGCCTTCTTGCAGTTTTCAATAAAATTGCTACCTATGTACACTTGACATGAGAAAGAATTTTCCAGCCCTTTGGAATGAAAGAAAGGAAACTTTAAAAAAATATAAGAGATTATATTATTCCCAGGATGATTTGGGTATAACACTTCCTAAAAGAAAGGACCAGATTCTGTCCAGGATACTGAGCATGTCGACCCGACTCAGTCTTAATGCATTACAGTTTCAGGTAAGACACTTCACTCATTTGGACCTTATTCTCCCCACTAATTGAAGACAGCATTAGACTCTTAAGATATTTACCACTTACACATTTCTATTCTTCCCATTCCTTGACCATCCAGCACTGACATCACTAGAAGATTGCAGAACTTTCCTCTAAGCCCAGATGGAGGCTTCTGGATTCAACTAGAGTTGATTTGAAAAATTTGGGGGGCAAAAAACCCCACAATGGGTTGGCCTCCCCAGTTATACTCTGAGCTCCCTGGGGGGCAAAGGCTATCTTCTTGCAAGTCCTCCACAGATACTAGCACAGTAGCCTACTATTTAAACTTGTTCACAGCTAAATAAAAAAATGTTTAATGAACTATCTCAGTCAACTCAACTTTACAGACATTTCAAGCAAAACCTTTTACCTTGTTTTTCCTATCTTGCTGCTCTTCCCTAACCAGTTTATGGTATGTGAATATTGATGTGTAAGTTTTAAACAGCTGCTATTGATGAGAAGAAGTTTTAATACCAAATGACATCTCTTTTGGTTCACGCTTTCTATTAGCTTTAAAAAAATGAAAATACTTACAGTAAAGTTTCAGGTATTATATCATAGCATCGACTGAGTGATAGGTGTTGGAGGTAGTTGAGCTGGTAAAATTCCTGAAAGCAGTCATCCTTTAGCATGACACTGTCACTGTAAGAGGGTAGAAGAACAGATTCAAAGTTCATGCACCAGTTCTATGCGGAGAAGACAGAAATAATCTAAGGCTTAGTTCCTTCAGTTCCACATATTAAGATCCTTTCCTCAGTTCAATGGGCAATTTTATTTTACAATAAGTAAATAAATAAATACCTCAAGTCTAGGTGGACAAGATTGGGGCACCTTCCCACTAAGGTAGAGACATCTAGAAAAAAAAGGTCATTATTAAATGAGGAATAGACAAGGATATCTGCTACCAACACTGTCATTTAACTGGGCTAGAAGTTCAGAATAAACGCAATGAGAGTCACATACGATTAGAAAGAATGAACAAAATTTTCATCCTGGCATGTAAGATTATCCTGGCATTTTCATCCTGGCATGATAAGACTATCACCTGAAAAACTATTGGAAACAGTAAGAAGAGAACTGTGTAAAATGACTGGTTAACAACAATCCATAGCTTACTTACATACCAGTAATAACTGGCTGGAAAAATAAAAGGAAAAAAAAAATCCCATTCACAATAGCAAAAGGCAAGACCAAACACAGCCATATATAAGCAAACAACATATTATAAAAGAGACACTTAAAATCAATGGGGGTTCAAGAAGTGGAAAAAAGGGAACCCTCATATACTATTGGTGGAAATGTAAACTGGTACACCCACTACGGAAAGCAGGATGGAGGTTCCACAAAAAACTAAAAATAGAAATACCATAAGACCCAATAATTCCACTTATAGGAATTTACCTGAAGAAAACAAAATCTGATTTGAAATGTTATATGCACCCCTATGTTTATTGCCAAATTATTTACAATAGCCAAGATATGGAAGCAACCAGTGTCCATCAATAAATGAATGGATAAAGAACATGTGCTTTATATACACAATGGAATATTACTAAGCCATAAAAAAAGAAATCTTGCCATTTGCAACAATATGGATGGACCTTGAGGATATTATGCTAACTGAAATAAGCAAGGCAGATAAAGACAAATACCATATGATTTCACTTGTATGTGGAATCTAGAAACAAAACAAAACAAACAGCAATAGACTCACAGATACTTGAGAAGTGACTGGTGGTTACATTGGAGCAGGGTGGGGGTGGGCAGGTGAAACAGGTGAAGGGGATAAAAAGGCACAAAATCTCAATCATAATGTAAGTGAGTCACATGGATGAAAGTACAGTACAAAGAATATAGTCAATAATTCTGTAACATCTTTCTAGATTGACAGATAGTAACTACACTAGTTGATGGTGAGGATTTAATAATGTATGTAACTGTCAAATCACTATGTTGTATACTTGAAATCAATATAATATTATCTATCAACTATACTTCAATAAAATAAAAATAATATAGAAAATCAATAGGGGAAATCATGGATTATTAAAAAATAATATTGCTACCAAAACCAGGAAAAATTCATTTCTCCATCTCAAAAAACATATCCAAATCCACTCTACTTGTATTAAAAAGTTCTAAATGCAAGAATATGGGCAATTATTCATTGGATGTTGGGATAGGTAATGAGTTTCTGAACACAAAAAAAAAACATAAAGGGAACACTGATAATTTACTACATAAAAATTTTAAAACTCAACCATGTTAATGCAAACAAAACACAAACAGAATTTAAAAAGCTTAAGAAAACTGGGAGCAAATGTTTCCAACACATTGAAGAGAGAGGTAATGGTCTTACATAAAGATAAAAATAGAAAATGGGCAAAGAACATGAAGAGATATTTTGCAAAATACAGAGATAAAAATGGAGCAAGAAAGGCAAAATTAATCCCTCCCCCACTTTGGGAGACACTATGCAGGTGCCTCAGTATTTTAATACAAAAATATCAGATTTTCACAAAAGTTGAAAACTTTTAAGATTGAAAATCCGTGCATCTAGAAGATAGTTTTTATTAACATTTTTATACATGCCAAATACTCAGTTTTTTCTGGATATTCATCATTCATCTTGTTTTACACATATTTTTATTTATTTATTTGACTTTTTTATTGAAGTACAGTTCATAACAATATTATATTGACTTCAAGTATAAAATAAAATATTGCTTTTTATCCAGCAAATGAAAATCTATTACAATATCCAGAATTGATGAAATATAATGAAGCAGGTCTCCCCACATACTATAAGTTGGATATTTAACTTTATGCAGCCTTTCAAGAGAGCAGACTGATTTTTTATTTTTGAGAGTGAACTGATTTTAAAAAAAAAGTGTTCAGAGCATTATCCACTTTTCTTGTTGGTTCAATGAGTCTGCTCGTAGAAAAATAATTAGAAATGTGCATACAGATATTAATTTTAGCAACAATTATAATAGCCCCTCTGCCAATTAGTTTAATACATTGAACTTCATCCATTCTGTGGAACACAATGCTAATAGTAGTTATTGAAAAGTTTTTTAGTGATATTTCATGACCCCAAAAAATACTCAGGATGTATTGTATAGTGAAGGCAAAATACAATGCAGTGTAACTTCAATTTAGTTCAAACACACTCTATAAACTCATATTTATACACAAACTCACACAGAGAAAGAAAGTGGAAGGGAAAGGCTGGAAGGAAATACACCCAAACATTAACTGCAGTTACCAGAGGTGGTGGAACTACAGATAAGTTCAGAATTTGGAAGAAAGTCTAATGTGCTACTTTTTATTCAGAAAATCAATCAATAGATGTTATTTACTTTTTAAAAACAAACTCATTAATTGTTGAGTTTTTCTTTTTCCTTCTCACACCTATTATCTTCAGCCCCATTCCCTCCTCTGAATCCTAGACTTTAATTTTAAACTGCCTCTTCAACACACCCACTGAGGTATGTGACAAGCATCTCAAATTCATGCCTAAATCTAAATACTTGATTTCTCTTCTAAATCTGCTACTTCCCTGAAGTCTTTCCATCTCAGCAAGTGCTAATTTCTCTGATCCAGTTGCTTAGGCCAAAACCCTGGGAGTCCTACTTGACTGTTTTCTCACATCCCACATTTAATCTGTCACCAAATCCTGCTATGTTGGCTTTCAAAATGTGTCCCAAATCAAATAATTTCTTACCACCTTCAAAGTTCCTACCCAAGTCTCCTACAGTCTTCTCAACACAGCACCAGAATAAGACTTTTAAAAGATGAGTCAGATTCTCCCTGTTCAAAATGTCCCAATGGCTTCCCATCTCTAAAAAAAATCCCAACCAAGCTTTGGCCTTGGCTTGGAGAACCCTTGACTATCTTTTCTCCTATGACTGTCCCCCCTGCTCTCTCACACACCAGCTCCCCTATCAAGGCCTTTGAACTTGCTGGTCCCTAGTCCTAGAATAGTCTTCTTCACATATATGACTCACTCTTCTACTCATTCGGGTCTCCACTCACTTCCTCAGAGAGGCCATCTCTTTGGCCATTCCATCTACATAGCCCCTTCCTGCTACACTCTGCTTTTCCTCCTTGCATATTTTCACTCCTTTCATCACATTTAGTTATTTGATGATTGCCTGGCTTCCTCACTAGAATGTAAGTTGCACAAGGATGACTATCTGTTTTTCTCAAGGCTACATCTCCCAAGTCTGGAATAGGATTCTGTGCATGGTAGGTGCTCAATAAACATCTGTTTAATGAATGACTAAAAAATGAAGACGTGCACAATACAATTTTGAGTGACCCATCATCTAGCCAGCCAATCAGCCATCAACAAATCTTACGTTGACACCACCTAGAAAAGAACAAAACCTTGGGGGATAAAATTGGTCAGTCAACCTCTCCAGCCCTCATCAAAGCCCTGCCGTCCCTCTGGGGAAGGGTTAGTAAACAACAGTCACCTAATCTATTTTGTCATTTTAAAGGAGAGGCAATTTCAGCTAGAGAAGTCAAGGTCAAACCCAAGACCAAAGGTGAGGTCCTCTAAGACAGTGTGCACTTACTGTCCCACAGGGTGACAGGGTGGGTGAGTGCGATGGCAATAACCACAGCCAACAATTACTGACTCTTATTATGTGCTAAGAATGGTTTAGCATGCTGTGTGCGTAGTAACTCATTAATTCTTTAATATAACTCAAAAAAAGTGGGTTCTACTATTATCTCCTTTTTATTGGTGAGGAAACTGAGGAACAGGGAGTTAAGCAACTTCTTCAAGGCTACCCAGGAAAAGGCAGAGTGGTTACTCAACCCTGGGCAGTCTGGCATCAGTCTAGGAGCTAAAATGAAATCCATACTTTCTTCTATATAATGAAATAGAGTGCGCCGTTGTTAAAGGCATTAATTTAAAAATCTCAGACTGCCACTGTATAATTAAGAAAACTAACACTTCAACTTATGCTCTTTGTCCTTGCCCTGAATGTGTCTAGCAAGCCAGATTTTATAACTTACTATTCCTGCCAAAACTCAGTAAACAGGCTATCAGGTTTTTTTTGGAGGAACAAAGAGAAGAGCTTAAAGCCAAACTTGGACAAAATTAACAGTGGTTTGCCTGCAGCAGAGTTTCTCAACCTTGTACCCAGAATCTCAGTTCATTTCAGAAAAACTCTCAATAAAGATTTTTCAAATGGGAGATTGAGATATGGGAGGGAAATGTAAACAGGGCACTGCCTTCTCCTCTTGGGGATGAACGGAGAGGAACAACCAGTGGACTCCACGTTAAGAGGATGCTTGCTGGTGGGAGTTTAAAATCCTCGGAAGGCAACTGGGCAAGAAGTATATATCTAAAGCTTGTGAACGGAGCCTAATTCTTGACTTTGGAATTCTACTTTTCAGAATTCATCCTTAGGAAAGCACTTGAAGATTTGTCTCTGTCCATAACTAAGTTATTTATAAAGGGAAAAATGGAAGATTCTAAACATCCATTACACACATGGGTATCAACTGAACAAATTATTATTGAATCAATACAAGTTATTCCACATCTCTTTGATGGAATATCACATAGCCATTGAAATGATGTGGTGTAGCTACTGAAAATGGAGTGATCTGAAAAAAAACACACCCCATACCACAAAGTATTCCATATGCTTCTTAAAAGCACTTTGTACAGGAAAAAGATCAGCAAGATGTTAGTGAGATTACTGATGATTGTTTTATTATTGATTATTGCTTTAAGGAAAACAAGATGAGTTTTCTTTTTTATTCCATATTTTATGTATTTTTGAGAATGGCTATACAAAACTGTATCAGATTTAACATAGTGTATGGAAAAAACTTGGAACAGAAATACTGTGTGTGGAGGGGAGCAGTCAAAAAACAACTGCTTTTACAGGTCTCTAAAGAAAACATTCTCCTTGTCTAAAAATGCAGGGCTTTGGACTTATGATGGGGAAAGGACTGGAACCCCTAGCTGCTAATGAGAATCTAGCTCCTCTTTTCTGTAGCTTGATGAGATAGATACCTTACTTTCCAGATGCCACATCATATCATCATGCCCTGGAGAAGTAGTTTTAAAATACTACTTTAAAAACTACTTTTAAGATACATTTTGCAAATGCTTGATTCAAGTCTTTAAAGTAGGATAAAGACTATAATAAACAAAACATTTAGATTCAAGTGAGCTAATGCCAACATCAAGATGCAAAGATAGCGTTGAAGTGCATTGCTTGCTTAACTAGTCTTTGTATATATAGCCCACAGCCTGTGAACAAGGGGAAGCCACTTAAAAAATCTTCAATTTGTACTCACTTCATCTTTTTAAATTAAGATTTTGTCAGTATTAGGCAAATAAAATTAACTGAAAGTTGAGGCTTATAAAGGCTATATCTGTCACATATCACCCCTGACTCCAAATGCTTGTGTTCATCTAAGCAACCTCATTGTCCTCTTAGACTATAAGAGATAAATATGAACTTACAAACTTACAAAGGATTTAGAACAGGGTTTTTCAGTCTTGGCACTACTGACATTTCAGACCAGATTCTTTTTTGCACCTTATTCTGTTCTGCGCATTGTTTACTAGCATTCCTGGCTCCCACCCACTAGATGCCAGTAGCGCCTCACAGATGTGATAATAAAAATGATCTCAAGACCTTGCCAAATGACTCCTTGAGGGGGAAATGCCTGTCCTCAGTTGAGAACCAGTGCTTAATAATCAAACACTACATTTACCTATTATTATGTTGGGGCTGCACCCAATAATTAGCTGATTCAAGTAAGTTCTCCTGTTTAAAAGTAAACCGTTTTACAGTATAAAGGTTTCCACTTCTAATTCTGGATTTTTCCCTTTCCCTTACCCTTCTGATAAGCTGCTACTTAATCTGAAAAAATGGCAATAGGAACAACACACTAGATTAAATGAGACACCGTATGTAGGCAGCACTTAGGAGATGTTCAATAAATCAAACCTACTTCTCCGGTTGTTGAGGGCCCAGTGGCCAGGAGGGAGTTACCTGATCTCTGGAGATTCCTTCGGTAGCCACTAAGATTTAGCTGCGTGATGGTCGCTGACACATGCGCAACAGCCACCTGCACGTGCTTCTCAGTGAAGTCATAGCACCAGGAGAGGTTCAGCTCATCCAATCTGCACACACGAGGAGTAATAGGGAAGCATGAAACCATGATACAAAAATGAGTTCTTTAGGTAGCACTGCCTAAAGCTGCAATCAAAGGAAATACAAAGCCACACATTCCTTACCATTTTGTGCATGGAACCCCTCTCCTCTAAGTAGCGACCTTTACTTGCCTGAAGCTGCCTTCTCCCCTCTTGACACACTTTCCCACCCCAGTTTGCCCCAGAAAGTTGCCAGAGGATCTGAGCCAAGGCCTTAGTGAATGCTGCCCCCTTCTGGAAATGGAAGGGAGCACTCTCCTCTCTTCTAACTGATCAAATCTCATTGCAGGACAGAAATTCTAGCCCCCATGTTTTCTTCCTCAACCACCCAGGTTGTTAGCAAATAACCAGACAGACTGAACAATTGCTTCAAATGCTTTAAAAAACTGATGGATTGTACCAGGGATGCCTAAAAAAGAGGTGCTGACATTGCAAAAAGCTACTTCATCTTATTTGGCCTCTGCTAACTGAGCAAATGACGGATTCAAAGACAACATACAACCAGTAAACCCCACACCCCATTCTTGGCATTGTTGAGCAAATGCAGGTCTGTACATTTTATCTCATTGATCACATTCTTATCCAAAGGCAATCTACTTTCAACAGATCATTAAGGAAACATAGGTACAGAGACCAAAGGATATTGAAAAGGACCCCCCAACACACAGAATATTGTGTTTTCTGAGAAATGTGACTGTTCTCAGTTACATTTGTAACTCTGTAGACTTTATTTATATACTAACTTATTATACAATATAAAAGATGTTTTTATTGGAATCATCCAAATTTATGATGTATATTTGCAATGTATCAAATTAAATCAAAAGTTATGTTAGGTCTATAGATATGATAGAGAAAAAAACTTGACTGTACAGTCAGGCATAAAGAGGTTAATTTCAACCATACTGCTGATAATAAATACACTACTCAACCTTCCTTATTTTAATAGCTACAAAAAAGAGAGAGAGAGAGCTCACTACACGTGTATTTTTTGCAAACTTTTCAGTTTGGCTCCTGAGCTTAGAAAGAATGTTTGGAGGGCAAAGAATATTGCATTACCCAAATCAAGAGCTCAAAGAGTTAGCTACAGCTCAAAAAATTTACCCAATTATACTCTGATGGGAGTGATAATTGTATATTTGCAAAAACAACTCTGTAATCAAGTCTCAAATCTTTCCTACCTGGAACAGCTGCTCAGCAAAATCTTCAGGGCAGATT